GTATATTAAACAGATTGGGTTTTGCAAATAAAAGTTGAATTGAAATTAAATGACAAAGAACTATAAATTATTGAGAAAATATCAATTAAAGGTACTTAGGATTGACTTCCTTCCTTATCCCTCTTTTGTAATGGCTATGTCACTTAAGAACGTCAATTAACCTAACAATGTTGATGTCACCTACTCAAATCATCCATGTTGATTCCTCACACATGAAATTCATAAGAAAACCTAATAAATGTTTACTCCTCACACAATTTAGAGATTTTCCAGCATTAGGGTTAGGGTGTTAAGCAATTGATACATTCATTCCATTCCTGGCAATTAACGTAACAAATATTCTTACCGTGATCTAGGGTTCAAGATATATTTTCCAATCATACCTCAAATAATCAAGAATAAATCATTTCAAATCATAAAGGATAAGAATAACAACATCAAAGCATAGATTAATATCTCAAAATATCACCATGATACAAAGAGTTCAAAGGAAGTGCAATGTATCCTAAGAGAATGAAGTTAGTCACTCATATTGGCCATTACAATGCTCTAATTGATGAAGAAGTGAAGAATTGATGAAGATTAGACGAAACTCTAACATAAGTTAAGTGGTTTCATAACAATTCAAGGCATAATTATATCAACTTTTTACCACTTAACAAGAAGATTCTAATTCTTCTCATTCTTTAGAACCATTAACCCTGATGGTGACCACTACAACAGGAAGCTCAAACTTGCAAACTGAGTCTTGGTACCTGGATTCGGGATGTTCAAATCACATGACCTATCATAGGGAATGACTTATCAATTTTGATGTAGACAAGAGAAGCAAGGTGAAATTTGTTGACGACAGTATGTTGAAGGAGCTGGAGATGTAGTCATCTTAAGAAAGGATGGCTCGAGGGCCGAGATTGCAAACATTTTGTTTGTTCTTGGGATGAAGTGTAACCTTCTCAGCATAGGCCAATTGGTACAAAAAGGATTCATTGCGATAATGGGAAAGTATGATAGGATCGAATTATTTGATGAAAATAACAAACTGATTTTGAGGAGTAAAATCTCAAAGAACAGGACATTCCAGGTTGATATAAATGTAGTTGATGTACAATGTTTGTCTGTAATTGAGAAGGAAGATAAGAGTTGGCTATAGCATCTAAGGTATGGTCATTTAAACTTTAGAAGCTTACAGCAACTCAGCGAGAAGAAAATGGTCTTTGGATTGTCCGAGATAAAACTGCCAAAAAATGTATGTGAGGTTTGTCTAGCTGGAAAGCAAACCAGGAGACCATTCAAAGCGCAATCAAAGATGAGAGCCAAAGACTGCCTGGAAGTAATATACTCTTATTATGCGGGCCCTTTGAAGTACCTTCAGTGGCTGGAAATAAGTATTTCATTACCTTTGTAGATAAGTATAATAGAATGATTTGGTTGTATATGATAAAGTTGAAGAGTGAATCTTTTGAAGTCTTCTTGAGATTCAAAGCCAATGTTGAAAGGGAAAGTGGACAGTTACTAAAGACTCTTAGAACAGATGGGGGAGGAGAGTTCACCTCTAACACCTTTGAAAGCTATTGCAAAACGAATGGCATTATGTATGAGATAACAGCACCGTACACACCTCAACATAATGCACTTGCAGAGAGAAGAAACATGACGATTTTGAACATGGCAAGGAGTTTGCTAAAGGAGAAGGGACTACCACATAATTTGTGGGGTGAAGCAGTTTCAACAGCTGCATACATCCTTAATAGGTGTCCCACAAAGAGGTTAGAAGGAGAAGTTCCTTTGAAGGTTTGGTCTGGTGTAAATCCAGCAGTCAACCACTTCAAAGTCTTTGGGTCTTTGGCATTTAAACATATACCTGATCAAAGGAGAACCAAGGTGCAGGATAAAAGTACTGCAATGGTGTTCATGGGATATTATCCTACTAGAGCGTATAAGCTCTTTGATCCAATTCAAGAGAAGGTAGTTCTGAGCAGAGACGTACTAGTACTAGAGGATCAAAGCTGGGACTGGAAGAACAAGCAGACCAGCTTAAGGCCATCAGTCACTTGATAACGCAGTATTGACGGAAAATGATGAGTCAGAAGCTGAAACTGCATCAAGAAATGACATACAGGAAGTTGTGACTCAGATATCACAAAGGGAGAGAGCAATGCCACGAAGATTCTCTAATTTTGAAATGCATTCAGATGTGCAGGTGAATGATGATGGAGATCTGATGCACATAGCATTGATGGTAGGGGCCGAACCAATTGACGAAAAGGAGGCAATGACACAACTAGTGTGGAGAAATGCAATGCATGAGGAGCTCAACTCCATAGAAAAAAATAAAACCTGGAAGCTTGTTGACCTTCTAGCAGAGAAGCATTACAAAGGAGTGAAATGGGTGTTTAAGAGGAAGCTAAATCCTGATGGGTCAGTCTCCAAGCACAAGGCAAGGCTTGTTGCAAAGGGCTTCCTTCATAAACAAGGAGTGAATTTCTCAGAGGTATTTGCCCCAGTAGCTCGAATAGAAATTGTAAGGGTGGTTATTGCAGTGGCTTGTGAGAAGAACTGGTCATTATTGCAGCTTGATGTAAAGTTTGTATTCTTACATGGACCTTTGGAAAAAGAGGTTTATGTTTAACAACCTCCAGGATTTGTGATCAAGGGGAAAGAGACGCAGGTCTACAGGTTGCAGAAGGCTTTATACGGGTTGAGGCAAGCTCCCAAAGCTTGGAACAAGAAGATTAACTCATGCCTACTTGAAGTGGGGTTCACCAAGTGCATTGTTGAACATGGAGTGTATGTAAGGGAAGATGAGAAGGGAAATTTGTTGATCATATGCCTCTATGTTGATGACCTACTCGTGACTGGGTCAAACATAAAGGATATTGAAGATTTTAAAAGAACAATGGAAACAAAATTTGAAATGACAGATCTTGGAAAGTTGAGCTACTTTCTAGGAATGAAGTTCACCTACATTATTGCGGGAATAATAATGCATCAAAGAAAATACGCTGGAGAGATACTGAAAAGATTCAATATGAGCTCATGCAATTCAACAATGAGTCCTATTGAGATTAATGCGAAGCTGACCAAAGATGAGTCAGGAGATGCAGTAGATGATACAAAGTTTAAGCAGATTATTGGCTCCTTGCGATACTTATGTAGTAGCAGACCAGATTTGGCTCACAGTGTAGGAATGGTGAGTAGGTTCATGAGCAATCCGAAGAGGTCACACATACTAGCTGCCAAGAGATTGTTGAGATACATTCAAGGCACAACAAACTATGAAATACTATTTCCTTTTGGAAAACAGAAACCAAAATTGGAGTTATCTGGTTATGCAGACTCAGACTACAGTGGTGATTTGGTAGAGAGGAAGAGCACTTCTGGTTACATATTTTTGCTGAACAATGCTCCTGTTTCATGGTGCTCTAAAAAGCAGTTAGTGGTAGCTTTGTCTAGCTGTGAGACTAAGTATATAGCTGGAAGTTATGCTGTGTGCCAAGGGGTTTGGCTTGATAAATTGTTGAAGGAGTTAAAGGTCTCTACAAAGACACCTTTGGAGCTAAAAATTGACAATATTTCTGTCATAAATTTATCTAGAATTCCTGTGAGTCACGGTAGAAGTAAGCATATAGAAGTGAAATATCATTTCCTAAAAGATATGGTGAATAAGGGAAAGATTACCGTGAAATACTGCAAAATAGAATTGTAGTTGGCAGATATGTTCACTAAAGCATTAAAGATTGAGAGGTTTGAATAACTAAGGAAAAAAGTTGGAGTTGTATCGATTAGATACTTGACTTAAGGGGGAGAGTATTATATTGCAATATTTGTATAAGTCAAGTATTTCTGTTATTGTTTTGTTTTACTTCTGTTATAACAGTCTCATTACAGCTGTTAGTATATTCTATATAAAGACTTCTTATACGTTAATACAAGGTGCAGTTCCACAATTATTTTATCTCATTTCTCTTGTATTTGTTCTAACAAAAATGATATATATATATATATATATATATATATATATATATATATATATATATAATAACCTTTTTTTTTCCTTCCAAACTAGATAAAGTGATATTGTAAGGTTTAAAAAATTGAAGAGATGAGAAAAAGAATAAAGATTGTTCCCAAGAAAATTGATGAAGGAAATATGTTATGGTAATGTGGTTTTTTACGGGAAAAACTAATAAACTTATGCAAAAACCATACAATTTTAACACAAATGTTGTTATTAAAAAATATTATTCGTGATACAAATATAACAAATCTTTTGGAAACTGTTACCGAATATAAATTATTTTGAAAAAAAAAGGAGATTTTTTTCAAATTTATATTTAATACTGGTATTTTAAATTCATAAATTAGGTTTTTAAGTTTTTAAAATTATGTGATTCCATCATTTTTTTCATATCTAATTTTAAAATTTAATGATGATTTTTTTATTTCAATAAATTTGATAATTGTTTCTTACATCTAAATTTAGTTTTTAATAAATTTTTACTATAATAAAATTGATAAAAAATATTAAAATTATATTTTTAAAGTTTGAGACTAAATTTATTAAATTTTTAAAGTATAAGGATAAAAAATTAGTCTGAGAAAGAACACAAGATGAAAATATATTCAATCCAATTATTTTTTAAGCATCTATCATTTAAAATAAATTCATTCAATTAAAAAAAAAACTAGAATATAAAATTAAGCAGGCCTAATAAGAGAAAGAGGCACCCGTGATACGGTCCATAAGATAAGTGGGCTCAAAAAGTTTACTAAACCAGCCTAAAGCCCATTAAAGCCCACACCATAAACCCTACCTTTACAAATAGAGGATATCTTCCTCCTTCATATTTAACCTGTTGCCGCTGAAGCTGAACGTAGCACAGAGAGCGAAGAGACAGAAGAGAGAATCATCAAATCATCAAAATGGGTGAGTTGGTTTCTAACTCCTTTTCAATTGGATTTGGTGGTTTTTCTGAACACCGAAACGATGCTCTTATGTTATGCCTAAATGTTTTGTTTGGTTGATGTTTTCGATTGCAGGTAAGGTTCACGGATCTCTCGCACGGGCTGGAAAAGTGAGAGGACAAACTCCTAAAGTGGCCAAGCAAGACAAGAAGAAGAAGCCACGCGGACGCGCTCACAAGCGAATGCAATACAACCGTCGATTCGTCACCGCCGGTAACATTATCTTCGTCTCTCTTTTCTATGATTTTCATATGTCTAAATTCACATGGCACTAATATTCAATTTTATCTTATTTGTGCTTATCTACCGAAGAATAATATTAGGTTTTTAGGACATCCTAATTTTGGGGATTTCATAATGTGTTTTTTTTTTTTTCAATTTTGATTCTTGATTTTTGGATTTATTTGATTGTAGTGGTGGGATTCGGGAAGAAGCGTGGACCAAACTCGTCGGAGAAGTGAGGGGCGTGTGGATGATTATGTTTTTTGTAGTTTGCAAAATGTATCACTTATTTTTGTTTGATTGATGACTAAAAGTTTGATAGTTACTCTATCCTTCAATGAAGTAGTTTTTTTTTTTGTCTATTTAAATATCAAAGCCTTATACTTCTTTCTCACAGACAATTGCGTTACTTTTGTTTTGCTTCTATTAGAATTTAGAAATAGAGTTTATGTAGGTAAACATGGAATACCAAGCTTATCAATTAAAATTTTTGGAGCTAGTTTTAGCCTTGCCAGATTTTGTCATGTCTTTCATTACTTAATATTACAAACCATATTATTTGGAGGCCTACTAGGGGAAACCATGTCATTTTGCTCACCCTCTTCAGTTTGCATCTACCTATTATGTTGTTTGTTTTTTTGTAAATACTTGGTGAATAAATGTTCTAAAAACATGTAATATAATTAAATTAATTGATATTATTGTTATAATCGTTAGTGTAAATAGGAAATGAAGCAGCAATTAAATTCTAACTAAATGTTCCATATATATACATTCTAGGATAGGATCCTCTTAAATCATTCAAAGGTTCTTTCCTGTTTTGTTCACCTGTTCCATTAATCTTTGTTTGGTACTGCAGTGTTTGATGCATTTGTTTTTTGGAATTGATACATAATAAGAAAACTATGAAGTTTAAGATAAACTTGGTTAGTTTCTTAATTATTAGTGTGTATTGTCATTAGTGTGTTAGAATATTATTAACACATGTTTCTTAAATTTGATTAATTTATGTATGGTTTACATATTTTATCCTTTTAATTCCGTTGTGTAATTAAGAATATTCAAATTAATCTCATTAAGGATTACAAATTAATCATTCTTCTAACCTTTTTTACGCTCTGGTATTTTGTAATGGCATAATTTTTCCAATCTTTTGGGCTTTTCTTATTTCACAATTTTTGTTATTTACGTCATTTTGAAAATAATTTTTTTAACTACACGTTTTTAAACTAAAATTCCATCACCATGTGATTGTTCCCTATTTCTTATAGTTCTCTTCTTTAGGTCTTGCTCATGTTTGTTACTTAATCACAATAAATTTAACTTTTTGTTAATTTATATTATATTATATACGTCAAACATGTAACATAATGTCTGGATTATGTACCATCAAAGGTTATATATAATTTTACGTTAGTGATAAAATATTTATATTATTTTACATTAGGAATGCATAATTTTTTTGGTCACTGTATATGATCTTTACAGATGCATGTTTAATTGGGTACGTATAGTTTTCCTAATTTTATTCTGTTTATGATTGTTAACCCGAACTTATTGTTGATTTTGAAGTAGTGTTTATAATCCTTGTTTGATAACCGAAGTAATTATATTGGTAGTTCTTATCTCCGTTATGTGAATGATCATACTCGATTCCTTAGTATAAAAAAGCATATAAAAATCATTATATGCATGAACCCAAACTTCATATTACTTAAAATTATTATCATGGGAAGAAATTGATCCGAAGGTAAAAATGAACCTCTCTTTGCTTAGCCAATATCTACAAGCCAGCCTGTTCTGCTATGAAAATTTGCAGAATTAACTAAGGAAGGAGATATTTACGGATACTTTTTCAAGGAATCATAGCATGTAAACAAAGTTTGTCATTGTTAGTTGAAAAAAGAGACTTAAATCATGTTATCTTTTGAAACAAATAACAGCAGCTTATATAATTAGAATTTATTCTTTCAAGTGGTATGATTAGTGGATTTAGATACGTAAGAAGAAGAATTTTCATTTTTTAAAAGAAAAGTGTTATGTTGAGAGTCTGTATCTACTGTGAAAAGTTTTGTTAATATTTATTCTAAAATTGTTGGCTAAACAAAATTTATATTTAAATTAAAAGTTAAACATTCTTTTGTATTATTGTTGTTAATAAAATATTTCGAACATCACATAATTGCACGCCACATTTCTCACGGATCTGGAACTTTTCACAATAACTTCATAGCCAGTTTATTGAGGAAGACCTGGTCCAAAATTATAGTCAAAACGAAAAAGTTTAGACCATATGTTTCGTTTAAAATATCCGATACAATTTGACAATGTATAAGCTCAATGTACAAGCACTATTGCCTCAAAATTGTATGCTACTCGGTTCAGAATGTATAAATACTTCATTTAGACCAAGAAAAAAAAAAAAAAAAGACGCAAGAAACTTTATTGCCTATAAAATACAGAGCTTGAATCGTACAAATAAATATGAAGTCCTTTTTTTATTATATCTGCAACTTCTAAAACTCAGCCGAGCCAGGTGTTCGAGGAAAAGGAATAACGTCCCTTATATTGTCCATTCCTGTTGCAAATTGGACAAGTCTTTCAAAACCCAAACCAAAGCCTGCATGAGGTACTGCATCAAGAAGACACTGTATCATGTCAATATCATGAATTAAAAAAGTTCATACAAGAATAAACCCCTTAATTGATACAACATTAGCTTCGCCACATCAGTATTTTAAAAATTTCTATAATCAAATCAAATAAATGTCTGTCCTTATGGAAGACATTAACATAAGTATGAATTTAGTAACTGTTTTGGTTAAATAAAATTTTGATATCTCCAAATTTAGTCTATATTGAAATAGATACTCAAAAAAATTCAGTAATTTTTATCCTAACAGTTAACAAATATGTCCATTTGGTTCTAACAATTACTTTGTTACTTTAATATTAACCGTGTTAACATTCTTTTTTACAATATCTACCTACAAACATCTTATTAGAATGATTCCATGTAAATGCCTAATTCAAAAAATAATAATTACTGTCAAAATCAAATTAGCATATTTATTAAATGTTAGAATGCTAAATACTGAAAAAAAAATTACGATGTACCAATTTCAATATGAACCAATTTTGGAGGTACCAAAAAACTTACTTAACTCTAACTGTTTTGAGAACTCATGAGGTGAAATTGGAAGACCAGTTAGCATGGTGCAAATAAAGAAAACGAGTCTCAAAGAGAAAGACATTTGACCTGAACCATATCGACGCAAATCAAGATACCACCAATATGCATTCTTATTCAGCTTTAAATCATCTAAACGAGCTTCTAGATGCTCAAGCCTTTCTTCTCTTTGACTTCCACCAATAAGTTCACCAATCTAACATACAACACATCATACGGACATGTACATAAGTTTGCATTGTGCATAAATAAGAACATATACTTAGAGCTGTCCACCGCAGAACTCCCATGTTATCCCATCAGGCAAACATTCCCAGCCCTAAATAACAATAGAGAAAGGCTAACAACATTTGTTTTAAACATCATTTACTATTAACTGAAATTTGTTGAAAATCCCAAAATTGTGAATCTCGCTATTTAATGATTTCACTCATGATTTTGTAGCTTTCAATACATTTTAATCAAAATAAGAGAATGTGTTAGAATGAGGATGCTGGTAGCAATTTGACACAAAGAACTTCCTACTTTTTTATGTACTATCAAACATAAACCACTACTATTTTGGATAGTACAGTGATAGAACTAGATCAGATTTGGGAGTAAATGTACAAATCTTAAAAGTACAATCTGGCTCCAACGGGGTACAGTACCAAAATCGATACTAAACTGTTGAAAGTCCCACATCGCCTACCTCATGTCATTTGGTATGGTTTAAATACATGTTAGGTTACTCCACATACTGCCAATTGGTTTTATGTTGGAACCTTAACATGGTATCAAAGCCAAAGCTTAACATCTTTCCTGTTATTGTCATGAACCAAAAGTTGCCCTTTAGTTTGGGTCAAAAGTACCATTTGCCGGTGTTTACACAAAATCCTGATCATTGGTCTCACATCGCCTACCTCATGTCATTTGGTATGGTTTAAATACATGTTAGGCTACTCCACATATTGCCAATTGGTTTTATGTTGGAACCTTAACATAAACAAAAAAAAAAAAAAGGAAATTCTCTGGATATTCCACATACCCAGAACTCGCCCTAGAAACAAAACTAATTCGCCAACTATTAACTACTCCTTCAACCCCTCGTCCTATTTATAGGCATCATGCCTTATTTCTCTAATTATTTTGTAACTAACTCTAATGAATATACTGTGTAACTAAATAAAGGGATTATCAATTGTACTGAAAATTTGCTATTCACAAACACTACTTGATTGCAATAATAAGAAAGAGATATCTTATAAATTACCCCTGGAACCAACATGTCCATGGCCGCAACTGTCCTTCCATCATCATTCTGTCGCATATAGAATGCTTTAATATCCTGAAATATTAAACTTAACAACTTCAGTACATTTGATTCACCAGTGTCTTTTTTTTTGTGTGTTTACACAAAATCCTGATCATTGGTCCATTTCATGCAACTTAAGTAAAAAAATGACAAGGCAGATGATAAAATTTGTATTTTTTTCCTTTATTGTTTTTGTGCAGGGACGGGTGGAACTGAGCAGAAGAAAATAAAAGTTTGGAAGAATGTTACTTCTACTCTATTCTGTCAGCCACTTCTTCCAGATTTTGTGGATTTTATATGTTGTCTCTAAGGTCAAAAGTTCTTGGTCCTTCTTTTATATTGACACTCATTTTAAAAAATATTTACAATGCCATCCTCTAATGTCTTCCATATGCCATGTCCAGAAGATGAGGGGAGAAAGTAGCATGCCTTTGGATAATCTCTAATTATCACAGGGCATCCATTGAATGCCTCTTCAGTTATATAACGCTCATGTTCACTCTGAAGATCACAGCCCCATTTCACCTATGAATGCAAATAGAAAAATATGTCAAATACAACCAAATTAGAAGAACTTTATGAATCACACAGCAATGACAAACAAATCTTGAGTTGTAAGTTGGGACCAGCTATTAAGATGGATGAGTGTAAACTTAGCAGATGACCAATTGTGAATGAAATGCAGGCTAGAATTGGACAGGTAATGTCCAGGGGGTGGGGGGAGCAAACAAAAAGGAAGTTACAAGACATCCTCTTGGTGTATTTGATTAGCAAAACAATAAACACTATACAGTACAGCACAAAAATACTTGTTCCATGTTTGATTTTAAAAATTGGTCATGGAATAGAATAATGAAGCACTGGGTAAATGTGCATTCAACAGGAGAAAAAATACATTAGAAAGTTACCGGGAATTCAAATTTCTTATTTGCTCCTGACAGCAGATCTATCGCTTCAGTGTAGGTTATTTGCACAACATCTTTATCTGCTACGTCCTTTTATTACGTCAAAATAATAAATGGAGGTCAAACTGGTAAGTATAATTGATACATCTAGTAGGTTCAAATTTGATAAACAAAAGCAATATGATGGTTACACTGAGAACTCATACACTCAAGCGTTCAATGATTCCTTTATTAATCCATGTATCAAAAAACTCCATGTCTTCCTTGCAATTGTCGAGAACATATCTTATCTTCAAGAATCAAATACATGAAGCACACAAGCTTCAATATGAAGAAGTAATATAAAACATAATATAAAAACCATGACAACTTTGTAGTACATGTGGAATGTAACTTACTACAGACTGGAGATAAGCAGATGCACAAGCCATGTCATCATTAAGATCAGCAAATGCAAGCTCTGGTTCAATCATCTGAATAAAAATATGATAAATGTGCTTTAATTATTCTTCCATTACACATGCATTACAACTAATGAGAAATACCAAGCAGCTTAGAAACAAAAAGGAATCCATAATCCATCTTCCTTTTTGTTCAAATTGAACACACATGAAAACGAAATCACCAACCCAAAATTCAGCCAAGTGCCTAGAAGTGTTGGAATTTTCTGCTCGGAATGTGGGACCAAAAGTATACACCTGCATAAGTACAATATTCAAAGTATATTTCAGTTATCAATTCTAAAATACTAGATTTAAAAGAAGACATGATAACTACTGAAATCTGAGAGAGAGAGAGAGAGAGAGAGAGAAGGTGACATATGTACATCAGAGAGGGCGGTTGCATAAGTTTCAGCATTGAGTTGACCTGACACAGTCAAGAATGCTGGTTTTCCAAAGAAGTCCTGATTCACATAATGCTTCAGATTAGTAGATATTGCACACTACATTTACAGCTTGTATTAAAAGGGTAGGGACATTTTGTCTCACCTGTGACCAATCAATTAATCTGTCATTCTTTTTTGGAATAGCATCAACAGGGGAATCCGTAGTATCTAGAGAACTTGGTATCTGAAAATTGAAGGGAGAAAAAAATCTAAAACTAAACGCTTAATAAGATGACAAATCAGTGATTGTAACAGACTTAGAAGTTATAACCCTTATCCTTGCACCATTTATAAATTATGGAAACGAATTTCCTTTATTGAGGTAAAATATTATCAAAGGGACCACAATAAGTAGTGATTACTGAGTAGGCAATGTAATTCACTCTGCATGTCCTGTGTAGACTTCATCGATATAGTTCAAAAACTGGATATAATAAAGAATTCAAATAAATTCCGATTGCATACAATTTGTTAATTTGAATTCTTTCTAAGTAATGAGAAAATTTTCCAGACAAGAGTGACTTACATCAAAGAAAACACTAGGAAAAACCATTGAAAAGGCTCTGCTCCAAATAGTTTTACTAAATATTTTTGTTGACAATGTTCAATGACATTGATTGAACCATGTGGTTGATTGATCACAATGTCATTTGGTTATTGTTCTAGCTAAACTAATATCAACCAGTGTTTCTAAATAAGCTAAAGAGCATCATCCCCAGAGGTCCCTCCTGCTCCAGAGTCTAAGCTAAAACCAAACCTTCTCCTGATCACAGCCTAAAAGTAAAGGATAATATAACATTTTCTTTTAAAGGTTTTAGTTTGCCCTACTGTGACTTTCATGAGCTATTTTCTTATCTATGTCATAGTAGTTTGGAATGAAGTACTGCTTCCGCGCAACCATGGTTTTGTAACAAATTACCTAGTAATGAGATTTTTTGGTGGGGCAGGTAAGATGGAGAAGTTAATCCTTGAGTATTCAAAGTGCATCAACAACATATAATTTGGTTTAAAATATTCATATAAAGTGGAAGTAACTCGTGGAATTGGAACTACCAAAGTAGTGACACAGAACTGTTCACCCGCTCCTTCACAATCTGAAGCTGTGATGATAGGACTTGAGATCCATATAAACCCATTTTCTTGGAAGAACTTATGTGTAGCATAGGCCAAAGCATTCCTAACCCTTGCAACCTGAATTCATTTTGCATAACAAACAGACAGATAATAGTAAAAATAAGAAAAAGGAAAAAAAAAAAAAGGTAATTTCCAAAGCAAAAACAATAACAGAACTTACATGGATAAATACTCTAGCCAGAATTTTGAGCATAAAGTACATAAGAAATTAAAGCATTGTATGTAATAAAAAATACTGGGAAGGAAATTAAACAGAAACTAAAAATTCATTGCCACTAGAGAATTTTTTGTATAAACCGACAAAGAGATATGAAATGATGAGTACCCTCTTTGTAGAAAAATTGCAAAAGGCTACAAAGTAGCTTCACTGGATTCAAATAATAAGATGGTAATTTAAATTTTTTTTTTTGTGTGTGGTTGTAGTTTTAAGCAAATACACCATTACTTAAAACTCCTAAAGCATCAAATTTTGGAGACACCTACCCCCACCCTCAGCCCCAAACAGCATATGCTCATAAAGAAATTCTACATGATCAGAAACCATCTAGATAATCATCTAGAAATTGGCATCACATAACAGGATATATGAAAAACAACATTTTAAGAAATTTAAGATAATAATTTACACTAAGGCAAATGAATGAATTGTATTTTTGCATAATTAAGTAAAGCCATAAGATGGCAAGGTATAAATAAATATGACAAAAATAGGAAACCATACTGCACCAAAAGTATTTGTCCTTGCACGAAGATGTGCTTTTGTTCTTAGAAATTCTCTGCTGGCTCGTTTCTTTTGGATGGGAAAAGAGGGATCACTCTTGCCAATCTGAAATTGTAAAGTCTTGCATGAGTCAGCATGGAGCTAAAGATTTAAAACCAAGTGGGAAACATGTAACGAGGCTAATGCAGGACCAAAAAAAGATAAAATGAAATCCAGTATTCTGTAATCATTTGCTGCACTAATGGTAATTTCAGACACAAGGTTGCCCTCAAGAGAATGGTTACCTTTTCCATTGCCATTTGCTCTAACAGAATAAAAAACCAAGTAAAAGCATAATGGAAATAAAAATGAAGTCAGAGGTCTAAAAATGTAAATCATATTAGGAAATTAGATTCAATAAACAACCAAACAGTAGTTAATGAACAATGAATAAAAATTTAAAAGCTTATAGACAATATTTTCATAAGCAGAAGCAGTACCAAATACCAAAGCAAACTCCTTATTATGTAGCCAGGTAGTGCGTACATACAAAGTTGCACACAAAGATGTTCAAAATATAAAAAAGGAAAAAACAAATAGCAGCCATAAATCCAATATATTGTATGACAGATATGCATTATTACGTTGGAATATATACGCAAATGAAGAAAAAAATGTTAAAATGGGTAAAACCTTGAAGAAATTAACGAAGACAACATTGATATGAGAAGAGAGAGAAAAATTGTGAGAGGTTGATTTATTAAGAATGAGGGAGAACTAACCAGCACTATTTTGTTGACCTTCAACTCCACTTTCTGTTTGGATCCTTGGCTCTTCACCACAACTCCTTGCACCCACACGGAGGCACCAGTGGTAACTAAGCCAGATTCTACCTAATAACAACCTCGAAACCTTCAAGAGAGATGGTAACAAAGGTTTGTCCTGATAAACTTCTCCAAAAGTATTTATATAGGAGAAGAAAATAAGGAGAAATGAAATATACTTCTTTGGAAACTAATTAATTCATACATAAACTAATTTTTTAGAATTCTTTCAAGTTATTTTTTCTAAAAGCAATTTTTCCACTTACGCACAAGACTAACTACCAAAAAATTTATTTCATTTTTTTCTCTCTTATGGTGTTTCCCGATAAGTTTATCCACATAAACCTAAATAAAAAGCCATAAGCAAAAAGATAGAAAAAGCAAACACACCTGATCGTAACCTTCAGCCTCAGAGTTCAACACGCATTGCATGTTAGAAAGGCAAGAACCATCGTTAATCTACACGCAATCAACGAATTACTCAATCAGCAATTGCATTGCAAGTACAGGCTAATTACAATAGAAATCAGTCTAATATCTTGCCTCGATGAAGGTGACGCTACTCTGAAGGCGAAGCGTGCGAACCCAGCCCTGCACGACGAGGTTGCGGCCGAGCACATCGGCGTCATCGTCTTCTTTAATTTCGGAAACCCTAAGCTTCTTGCGGAACTGTTCCACTCTGTTGTCGGAGGTACGAAGTGCGGCGGCGCAGAAGGAACGGCGGCGCAAGGAGAAGGGAGAGGATGGGATGAATAGAGGTTTGTGGAGTGAGAGAAAAGCAAGTGCAGTTGTTGTGGCGTAAGGTTTCAGGCGAAGGTGCCTAGCTGCTATTGCCATTGTCATCGTTTTTGCGGCGCCAAGGCCAATGGTAGCAGCCATTCGCGTGTTGGTGCCTCGCCGACCACACCCTACTCACTCTCCGACAAGTCTTATCTCCGTTGAGGTTTAATCACTCCCTTTATGGATTTGAGGGAAATAGATAAAAACTTGTAATTGATTAATTAATATTGATATTCATCATTTGTACAATTAATTAACATAAATAAATAGTTTAAAATATATCAGTTGTATTATAATTTAATTTACAATAAGTTAATAAATTTAAATATATAAAATATGTTTTGCATTTTGAGTAAGTTAAAAAGAGATTATACAAAATTTCAATAATACATACAATATGAAACAAACTTAGCATCGGATTAAGTTATTGAATTTTTATTTTTTTCATATTCAATCGTCTCTTGATTTTCTTAAAAAGAAATTGGATTAATACATTTTAAATTTTGTTTAAACTTTGTACTTTTTGTATTCTTCATTTAATTTTATTTTTATTATGATTTTATCCAATACCACAAGTATTTTAATATTGGCATGTAATTTTTTTATTTTTATGTAAACAAACCAATGATACATGTAAATGATTTTTTTTTAATCATAAACATTTGCTATAATGAGTAAACAACAAATGTTCCAATGACATGAAAGCATGGGTCCACACATAGTTTAAGATTTGATGCACTCTATATTAATATATATATATATATATATATATATATATATATATATATATATATATATATATATATATATATATGACTATTTTATTCTTTAGAGGAACACCATATAAATTTATCAATAGTTTGACAAAAAATAGTCTTGAAAAATATTAAAAAGATAACAAATAAAACCAAAGCACAAATTTTTACTTTGTGTTCATCTTCCATTTGAGATAATGGCAAAAATCTCAGTTATACAAACACCTCTCTCCAACTCTCTTCATGTTTTAATAACATTATTTAACTTGTTTTTTCAGGCAACACATTAAGATTACTTTAACACAAAATCTCTCTGTACTTTAACCTTTTTTTTTTTACTTAAAAAAAAGTTTAAGGTGGAGCATTCATTGATTGAATCGTTTTATAAAAACCCATATAAAAAAATATTTAACTGTTTTTCACTCAGAAATAAAATAAGAGTTTTGAAAGAAATAAAAATAAATCAACCGAAACGTTTAAAATATTTTTTTATTAAATATATATTAAACGAATCAATTGTCTAAGTTAATATAATCTTTTTATTATTTTTAAAATAATATATTTATAATTATATGAATAATTTTTAAATTTTTATTTATTAATTAATATTTATATTAGACAAATTAAAAAAATTATATTCATATATTAAAATATTTAATTATAATAAAAAAATTATGTTTAATTATGTTTAAAGTTTATAAATTTATCATATTTTTAGGCAAAAAAAAAGAATTCTTATTACTAAAACATTATCTATAAAGTGAATTATTTTTTACAGTATTTGTAGGCTAATTATTTCTAATAAGTCCTATGTGATGATAGTATTTTATTATCCGCTACCATATATATTTTTAAGGTATTTACATAGAATTTGCATAAGTATACTTAATATAATTTCTTAGATTGTAATTGACCTAAGAAAATATTACTTGTGATGATAGTTTAGAATTTTGTTGTTTGGTTAATTATGTGTTTGTTAAAGATTGAAAGTAGTTTTTGGATTAGACAAAATTGTATTAATTAGTTATATTTTTTCTTTATTTGTTAATTTTTTTCAACCATGGGATTTGTTACTGTTAGATATTGTTTATATATTATTTGATATTGTTAAGATATTGTTAGATATTGGTAACCACAATATCAAACAATATCTTCTCGTTTATTCTGTTACTTTCGATTCTCTTTTAGTTGTATTTCTCTACTATAAATAGACCACCCTATGTGTGATTTATACACAAGGGAAATTAATTCCAAACTATATTTTCTTTATATTCAACATGGTATCTAGAGCTTAAGGTTATCTTGAATTTTTTTCCGCCTTTTGTCCACTCGTTGGAGCCGCCCCACCGTCGCTAGAGCCGCCCCACCGTCGCTGGTAAACCGATCCTCCACATCGAAAAAGAATTATCTTTGTCATTGAATTTTATTTGGTAGTGTGAAAGTGCATGTTTAGGAAAGTTCGCAAGGAAAGACTTGGTATTTAAGTGTGTCCATTAGTGACCCACCTCTCTTTCCCGGGAACTTACCTAGTGTACTAGTTCACGTTATCGTCACCGCTGCCGCTGGAGCGAGCCATCGGGTCCGCCGTCGTCGGAGAATTCGCCGGAGTTTCATTTTTTTTTACCGGTGACATATGATTTTGCTTGTCTCGGTCAGGGTTTGTTCTCCCGCTCTTCATGACTTCTTCCACTATTTCCAATTTTGTTAACGATTCTTTTGTGTTGACATCCCATCGTGATGACCGGGCTCGCCCTCGCAAACAGGAAAAACGGCGTCCTAAGTGTGAACATTGTGGCAAGCTAGGTCACAAGATTAACAAGTGTTATACATTACATGGTCGTTCTCCTCGATCTGCTGTAGTTGTTCGGACCAATCTTTCCCCACCTTTATCCGTAGGGGATCTTCCTTCTTCTGTTGCATCCGACATGTCTGCTATGTTCAACAAATTTCTCGAATGGTATAAGGATCAACAGTCTTCTAGTTCCACTATATCCGTCACACATACAAATACATATTTTGCTGGTCCGACCCAATCATTTTCTCCTGGTCCTTGGGTTTTTGATTCAGAGCCACCGATCATATTACCGGTAACAAATCTTTGTTCTCCTCTTTATCCTCTCCTAATCATTTACCTTCTGTTACACTCGGTCGATGGCTCTAGAGTATCATCTCATGGTGTTGGAACGGTTAAACTCTTTCCTTCTTTAACCATTGATAATGTTCTTTATGTCCCCGGGTCTCCTTTTAACCTCGTTGTCCATCAGTCGTCTAACTCGTTCTCTTGATTGTGTTGTTACTTTTACCAACAATTCCGTGTGTTTACAGGACCTGAGTTCGAAACAGGTGATTGGCACAAGATGTGAGTCTCATGGTCTTTATTATCTCCGTCCCTCTACACATGTTAGTACAGCTTATGGAGTCTCCTCTCTTCTTCATGCTCAGCTAGGTCATCCAAGCCTTGCCAAGTTACGTAAACTTGTCCCCGCCTTGTCTAACTTATCTAGTTTGGCGTGTGAGTCATGTCAATTAGGCAAGCATAGTCGTACTTCCTTTCCTCGTAGTTTCACACGTGGTGCTTCGTCCCCTTTTGCCGTGGTTCACTCGACATTTGGGGACCTAGCCGCGTTAAGTCTACTTTAGGTTTTCAATACTTTGTTACTTTCATTGATGATTATTCCAGTATGCACTTGGTTATTTTTGATGAAAAATCGTTCGAATTATTTCATATCTTTCAAACTTTTTTTAATGAAATTCAAACTCAGTTCGGTGTTTCTATTAGAGTTTTGCGTAGTGATAATGGCCGTGAATATCTTTCTCATTCTTTTAAACAATTCATGGCTTCTCACGGTATTTTGCATCAAACTTCTTGTGCTTATACACCTCAACAAAATGGTGTAGCCGAACGTAAAAATAGACATCTTATTGAAACAACTCGCACACTTTTAATTCATGGAGATGTTCCTCAACATTTTTGGGGTGATGCTCTTCTTACCGCATGTTATCTCATTAATCGCATGCCTTCTTCGGTTTTAGATAATAAAATACCTCATTCCATTTTATTCCCTCATGAACCACTTCATCCTTTACCTCTGAAAGTTTTCTAGTCTACATGTTTTGTTCATAATTTCAATTCCGGTCTGGACAAGCTTTCTCCTAGATCACATAAATGTGTTTTCTTAGGGTTTACAAGATCACAAAAAGGATACAAATGTTTTTCTCCTTCTCTTAACCGTTATTTTGTGTCAAAAGATGTCACCTTTGATGAGTTGTCTCTTTATTTTAAAAGTCAAACTTCACCTCTCGTCTCCATCCAATCTTGTCAACACTCCTAATACATTTAATGTTCCCGTTGTTTGTGACCCTCTAATCGTGTCTTCTTCACCATTAGTTCTCGCTCCGCAGCTAGCTTCTTCTCCACCGCCTCTTCGCATTTATAGTTCTCGAAACCAATCACAACCACCACCATGTGACTCTACTCAAGTGCCAACTACTCTGTCTCCTCCGGATCCGACACATGAGTCCGACCTTCCCATTGCCCTCCGAAAAGGTATTCGTTCTACACGTAATCCCTCTCCCCATTATATTGCTTTGAGTTATCATCGACCGTCATTACCTTTTTATACATGTCTTTCCTCTATTTCTTCCGTGACCATTCCAAAACCGTCCGTGAAGCTTTAGCCCATCCCGGTTGGCGTCAGGCCATGTTAGATGAACTAAGTGCTCTTCATAATAGTGGAACTTGGGAATTGGTCCCGTTACCGTCTGGGAAATCTGTTGTTGGTTGCAGGTGGGTGTTTGCTATCAAAGTTGGACCCGATGGTACTATTGATCGCCTCAAAGCTCGTCTTGGTGGCCAAAGGTTATACTCAAATTTTTGGGTTGGATTATGGAGATACCTTTTCCCCGTGGCAAAGATGGCTTCGTTCGTTTATTTATCGCCATGGTCGCTCTTCAACAATGGCCTCTTTATCAACTCGGATGTTAAAAATGCTTTCCTCAATGGTGATTTGCAAGAAGAAATATATATGGAGCAACCTCCTGGGTTTGTTGCTCGTGGGAGTCTTCTCGGGATGGTATGTCGTCTTCGCAAATCCCTATATGGCCTAAAACAGTCTCCTAGGGCTTGGTTTGGAAAGTTTAGCAAGGTTGTTCAACAATTTGGTATGACTCTGTGTGAATCAGATCATTCTCGTCTTTTATCGACACTCGAGTGCTGGATGTGTTTACTTGATAGTATATGTTGATGATATTGTTCTTACAGGTAGTGACAACCATGGCATCTCTCGCTTGAAACAACATCTTTGTCACCATTTTCGTACCAAAGATCTTGGCAAACTTAGATATTTCTTGGGTATTGAGGTAGCACAGTCCAATGATGGTATTGTTATATCTCGGAGGAAGTATGCCATAGATATTTTGGAAGAAACTCGGGTTGATGAGTTCAAAGTCTGTTGATACACCCATGGATCCCAATACTAAACTTCTACCAAATCGGGGGAGCCTATATCCGATCCCGAGCAAGATAGAAGATTGGTTGGAAAATTGAATTATCTTACAGCTTACTCGTCCCGACATTTCCTTTGCGATCAGTGTGGTAAGTCAATTTCTTAATTCACCATGTGAAGATCATTGGAATGCAATCATTCGTATCTTGAAGTATATTAAAGGATCTCCTGGAAAAGGATTGTTATATGCTTCTAATAACCATACAAGAGTTGTTTGCTACTCGGATGCCGATTAGGCAGATCTCCTTCTGGATAGAAGATCTACATCCGGATATTGTGTCTCCATTGGTGGTAACTTGATTTCATGGAAAAGTAAGAAACAAAGTGTCGTGGCAAGATCCAGGTGCGAAGCGTAACATAGAGCTATGGCCTCAGCCTTCCCGTGAACTTGTTTGGCTCAAGCAATTGCTTAGAGAGTTACAATTTGGAGATGTCACTCAAATGACACTTGTGTGTGACAATCAGTCGCTTCTTCATATTAGTTCTAATCCCGTCTTTCATGAGAGGACCAAACACATTGAGATTGACTGTCATTTTATTCGAGAAAAGATTATGTCCGGAGATATCAAGACCGAGTTTGTTAACTCAAGTGATCAGCTAGCAGATATTTTTACTAAATCTTTACTGGGTCCTAGAATTGATTATATTTGTAACAAGCTTGGCACATACGATTTGTATGCTCCAGCTTGAGGGGAGTGTTAGATATTGTTTATATATTATTTGATATTGTTAAGATATTGTTAGATATTGGTAACCACAATATCAAACAATATCTTCTCGTTTATTCTCGTTACTTTCGCTTACTCTTTTAGTTGTATTTCTCTACTATAAATAGACCACCCTATGTGTGATTTATACACAAGGGAAATTAATTCCAAACTATATTTTCTTTATATTCAACAGTTACTATATAATTCACTATATTTAATCACTCAACCATTTTCACAAAGTTGTATTAGACCACAAACTCGACTTATTCTCAAATCAAATCTCTCGAATTAGAGTAGAAAAAAAAACAATGAGTTGTGAATCCTCTCATCCTATCTTTCTATTTATTACTTCCTTGCATCTTTGTCAAGAAACATGCATGAAACCAATAAAAATATTTACTGTGAATTTAAATATATAAATTAAAACATTTATTTTAATTATATAAATAAGCATATACCTCTTACTATGTAAATCACACAAATAAAATAAAATAGTTATATATATATATATATATATATATATATATATATATATATATTTAAATGACACGCGTGGATATATATTGTAGACGAGAAAAAAAGGAAAAACCTAAAGAAATTTGATAAAAAATAAAAATAAATAAATGATATGATATATAAATGACAAAAACATAACTGGAAAAAATCTAGAAAAAAATATTAATATGGTAAATGACAACAACATACATATTATTATTGGAGTAGGATGAGAAACAACACTGCATAGTTATTTTACTCATTCCATTGGTCTGCTGTGTTGTGTGGCGGTGGCAACCATGGCTGACTCCTCTCAAGACCTCGACCAACTCCTCGATAGTACGTTCTTCCTCACTCACTCACAAACTCTATGATTTTAATTTTTTTAGCTATTTTTCTCTCCTTCTGAGACTGTTTCATTTGATTATTTCAGGTGCTTTGGATGATTTTCAGTCCTTCAACCTTAATTCTTCTCTTCCAAGGTTATCGTTTTCCCCCTTTGTTCTTCTCTGCAATTATTTTTTATTAATTTATTTTAGTTTATTGAATCTTTGGGTGTTTGTGTTAATTGAATTGTGTGTTGTAAGTGGGGGAGCAATTGCGAGCAAAAAGGAGAGTCCTTCGTTGCCGTCGGGGGTTCAGGGATTGGGCATGGGTTTACCTGATTTGAGAACGAAGAAAAAGGGGAAGCAGAAGGCTTCGAAGGACAGCCACGTGGCGGAGGCGCTGAACAAGCTGAGGGAGCAGACCAGAGAGGCTGTGAAGGGCCTGGAGTCTATGTCCCCTCCTGGTGCTGATGATTTGGGGAAGGATGCCTTGATGGAAGATTGGGTCAAACAGTTTGAGCAGCTTGCTGGTTCTCAGGTTACCAATTTGTTCTTCATGTCAAAGCGCTTTAAGTTTGTTGTGTTATGTAGTTGTAGGAGATTATCGGTGATGGATTTTAGGGGCATTGTTTGTGTTTGTTTTATGCGTCTTCATGGAATCTTACTGTTTGGATAGGGGGGGGAGGTGGAAGATGGTGATATAGGGTTTTAAATTACAGTGACAATTGCGGATGCAAATGTGATTGTGGAGAATCCAAAAACTTTGATGTTAAATAGTGGCTGCAGACCGCTTTTTCGAACCTAGCTGTGCCACATCGAGAGAGAATTTGAGTATCACCAAAGTTTGTTGGTCTCTTGGTTTGATCCATGTGTATCGAAAAACGCCTGCCTTCTGTTCCAGGAGGGTGAGGATTCTCTGAAGAAGGATTAGGGTTGGAAACTGTGTCATTTTTTTTTTAGTAATTAATTTGCCTGTTGCTGCAATGGACGATCATGAGCTGAGGACTGGTTGTTGTGATGTGTCCTGTGTGTGATATTCCTCTCATCTCTGTCATTTAATGCTCTTATATCTCACAATAAGATATTCTTCTCACCTGATATGCTCACACACACACATAAAAATATAATATAATATAATTCATAAAAGAGACAGATTGGAGCTAAAGGAAAAAGAGTCGTTTGCCTTTGCCTGGGTTTCGTGTATTGGAAGAGCCAATAGTTGTGTATCAGAGGCAAACCAGTAATCAACGTAGGTTTTTATTTTTTTTGAACTGTGTTTTTATACTGTATATATACATATCAGTGCATCATAGAGCTTTTTCTAAGATGAACATAAACAAAAGTGGTCCACCAGTGGACATACTTTAAATTACTGCAAATTTCCTAATCTTTCAATCGAAAAACTTTGGATTAACTAAAGATTGCATTAGCAACCTTGTAACATTAAGGTTATGGTAGAGTCAAGTGATACATAAGGAGGAAAAGCGATAAAAAGAATGAAAGAATAGGGTACTTCACGCTGTATGATGATATTATTCAATGTGACCAAGAACCTGGTTGTTAGTTACAAGAATTGGTGAAGTTTGAGGGTCACCTTCCCTTAACTGGGTCAATTTCTAACTTTACTAGTGGTTGTCTTCAGATTAGCACTACCTTCCCAATTACCTTCAATCAGTTTTTTCCTGAAAGTCAAATGTTCATCACTCTTGAGCTGCCACCACTTAATATTCGGATTTGTATCTTGTGGAGTTTTCTGTTTATGCTTCTTTAAATGAACATCAAGGATTAAAATTTATGTTTTATAGAATCTTTCCTATAAACCCTTTGGGAACACCTTTCAAAAAGAAATGAATATGCAGCATTGAAATCCACTTTTATAAGTTATTAGATGTTCCTCCTTTAAACAGTTTTCGTACATTTCCTAAATATTAACGTGCAACATTGATATGGGGGGGACTTAACTTTAACAGCTAGTATTTTTAGGTGGTCCACATGTGAGGCACTTTTAAACTGGTGCTTGCTAGAACCTATCTTATCAAGGTGATTGATTGCTCATATATAGCCTTTATTCCTTTGTGCTCTTTTTTTAAGATTTAAATTGAAAATGGGATTTACTTCTTTTTTTTTTATGTAATGTCAAAATCCGACTGCTCATACTTATTGGTACCATTGTGATAACTTAGTTTGAATATCACATGAAATTATGAATTCAGTACATCCTAGCCTAGATTTTGGCACATATTTTGTGCTTGTCAACTTTATCCTTAATGAGAATTGGAATGCTGTGATCTTACTTTTAAATGTTACAGGTCAGGTTCATATATTATGGTGTCTGTCATGATGGCAAATTATTTAATTTGGTTTTTGTATTCAATTGATAACTTTTGTTTTTCTTAAAGAAGTCCAAAACTATATGAAGAATTAAAGTTGGAATCTATTAAATAAGAGAATGAAAAGTAAGAAAAATTTGGACTGTGCCAACTTTAATATGTCCTTTTGCTGAGATCCACATGGAAAAGAGACTAGTGCAAGATGATAGCCAAGCAAAGTAGACATCGGGGCCTGGACTACTGTTTTCAAATACAAACATAGCCTCTATTATGCCTTCTATTAAATATGTGAACCAAACCAAAACTAAACCAAACAACTTGCCAAGTTTGGTTATAATTTTATACTACGAGGAAGCAAGTGATTAAGGGCATCAAAGATATTGTAACTACTTACGGTGCTATGTATAATTTTTCATCATTGGAATATGGTGTCTTGACTTTCTTTCTTGGATTTAATGCTAATTATTATTTTATTATTATTTTGTTCAGGACATGGAATCTATTGTGGAGACCATGATGCAGCAACTTCTGTCCAAGGAGATTCTTCATGAACCAATGAAAGAAATAGCAGAAAAATATCCGAAGTGGCTGGAAGAACACAAATCTAGCTTAAGCAAAGAAGAATATGACCGCTACTCACACCAATATGAATTGATACGAAACCTTAATGATGTCTACGAAAATGATTCTGGAAACTTTAACAAGATTGTGGAACTCATGCAGAAAATGCAAGAATGTGGACAACCACCAAATGAAATTGTCCAGGAGCTTGCTCCCGAATTCGATTTAGCCAGTCTTGGCCAGTTGTAAGTTCTTTTGGAATCTTGAAAATGCAAGCTTAGGGCACATTTTAGTGGTGATTATCACATTATGTACTTGCATTAATCATTATTTTGTTATTTTGAAATAAGTCATGTGAAAATATGCATGAATTATTTTCAGTTCCCTAAACTAGATGATTAATTTGTCTTGCAATTTTAAATAGGAGGTATAAGTTGACTTTAGAGCTGTTGTTTATAGGGTGAAGCCCAATATACCAGTTCATGCTTATGGTTGATAATCAATACTCACTAATAAAATAAATGGCTTCGTACAATCTGTAAAATTTGTCTCTTTTATTTTAGTACTAATTCAGTGATCAAACTTTAGATGAATTACTCCTGCTGAAATAGGTATTAATGATCATATAAAAGCTAATATTTAATGTAGAATTGACTTATCCTAGTCGAGGAATGAATCACCCATATCAAAGGTTTGTTCCTTCACTAGGATATCTTTCCCCTTTCTCACCAGGATACATTCCAATATATATTTTTGAAGAAGAGAACGGGTTACCTGGCAGCATGCATTGTCATTCTAGCGTTTTAGCTTTCCTGGAAACTTGATTACTACCAATTTTTTAACATCTTGTAGTTTTCAAACTACATTCTTGCATGTACATCAACTGACGTGAACATTTTCTCCTGCAGGTCTCCAGAGATGCTTGAAGCTCAGCCAAATTGTTGCATAATGTGAAGCTATTTCTTCCCATTTACTAAGTCACTGTTTCTGGTTTACAGGTTTTTAGGAATATTTAATTTTCACTTGTCAGAATAAAATAGTTTTATGCACTACAATGTTTTTCCCTACTTACAAGGTTACGAGGAAACCACAATTAAAGTCTCTGTTTAAGGTTGTATATGACGACGGCAAGTCTATCAATATTTCCTGCAGGCAATTATACCACGAGCTGTTAGTTGCAAACAAAATTTGCTTTCTGATTTTTTGGGATTCATTTCCCGTCATAATGAGTAAAAAGCGGTTTGCAAGGCCGAAAAGCACCAGTAGATCACTAGATTTACAGGTAAGATACCATAATTATCAATATTCATAACCTAAATCTTTTGATACTAAGATTTACCGTGTAAAGCCCCCTCCCCCTAACATTGTAGTAAAACAAGCTCCAAGATAAACATGGAAAAAGTTTTATTGATAATAAAAGAATTAAGATTTATTGCATTTAAAAAGGGATAAAAGAATATAAAATATAAAAATCAGGCCCTTAACTATATTTGTCAGTTACGAAACAATGGCCTCATATCAAACATTGAATGAATGAATTTTCTATGGTTAAACAAAAGACAAAAAGGAAGAGATAATATTGGATGGACTATAGCTGTGCAGTATCTTCTTTTGGGATCTTAAAGAAACTGGAGGAGAATATAGCATGTTTAGCAGTTAGCTAAGCATCAGAGGGTGCCATCCAGTGTCTCCCATTAACAAAACTCTTGACCAGGAATGGATGGGCAGATTCAAAATCTAGCTCTTGGGCTAATGGGACTCCACGTACAGCCGCAGCACCTGGTCCCCAGCATTTGTACACTCCAAAGAACACAGTCCTAAAGCAGTGGTATTCAATATCAGCCCAAATCAATAGAAATATTTTCAAATTAATTTGGAAGAAATATACCATAATGAGGTTCTTCATGAACACCTACAAAAACGCATTCTTTAAAGAAAAATTGCATGATTTAATGCAGTTAGAATATTCTCCAACTCCTTTTGAAGAATTAAAAAAGTTAGTTCTTACTTGTTATTGTAGGATGTGTTCCAATCATCCCAACCACCATGTGCAACTATGTTGTCGAAGTAGGTGTAGGCATAGACAATCCTAGAGTACTCGCCCATTGCACGGCCCACATAAATCGGGCCTGTTCCAGTCACCTTGCATCGTACGAATGCGAAGCCCGTTTTCTGGTATGGGGATCTCCTATCTTGGGCTGCTATTGACCCAAACCTCGTGGCAATTGAGTGTAGCCTGCAATCCTGAACCAAACTATGCTCTTAATTAAGGCACTCCAATAAAATAACTATAAAAAGAAATTGGCCCCACACATAGTCGTTTCCTTTCCTTCCATGCTTCCATGGGTCCACATTATGTTACATTGACTCATTTTACTTTAACTTGCTACATACATTTATGCATATTTAGTATAATATGTATTAAGTAGTTTTATTTTGGCTTAATAAAATTTTTCGTCCAGGAAGTTTAGTTTCGATTTTTATTTTTTTATTTTGTTTTTTTTAATCACTCTGTTTAACTTATTAGCTTTAACAATAATAATATTATCCTTACGTGTCAGTAAAACTCAACAAGATTGATATATATTGGGGGCTAAAACTAATATATTTTTTATTTTAAAAATAAATTAAATATTTATAAGAAATTAAAACAAAAATAACATTTTATAGTGATTAAAGATACAAAATAAAGAATCTACCTATGAGTAAAGTACAAAAATACATATGGCAATATATTTAACAGCTACACTAAAATTGATTGAAATTTGTTAAACATCTTATATATTTGTCCTAGTTTTATTAATTTGAAAAATGATAAAATTAATATTTTTAACATTGACATAATTTAACAATGTTTTTTCTTCTTATTGTTTGTAATAATGTTTATATGTATCGAATATAACAGTTATTAATTAAATATATACTTTTTTCAATTTAAAAGGACTATTCACATATATTTATCTTTATGAATGTCAAATTCTAGTTGTTTAAAATAGAAGTATCAAACTATGTTCATAGACCATTCCGAAAAGTTCATAAAGATAAAACTAGACTTAAAAAAATTACCTTGTGCAATTTTTTATGTTTAAAAATAACAAATGAAAAACAAAACAGAAAAAAAAGGTCTAAAATCTATCATCCGCCCGCTTGGTCCCATATTTACCTTTAAGTTATCACATATTTACCTTAAAAATTATGATTTCTTTTATTTTAGTCCCATAATTAAGAAATATTTTTATTTTACTCTCTATCATGTTATGATTGTGAATTGATAGTTTTTTTTAACGTGTAATGATAATGTTATATTTAACATGATAATAACATCATCACTATTACGTTTAATGCAAAATAAACGAAAAGAAAAAAGGGGATAAAAAAATGGGAATTAAAAACAAAATACGTGTTATTTTATAATATTTTCCAATATAAACTACTTACCATTATTTTGTTAAGAAAAATTATATTCATCATATGCTATAACTTTGAAACATTTGATATTATTATTTTATTATCAACCATCAAAGTTATAAGTTTCACTCGGGTGTAGTTCTTGTATTTAGCTAGATAGAAACAATTATTTTGTACATAGTTTTTCTCTATTAAATAGAGTTTGAGAAAAAAAGAGAATGGTGAAAATAAGAAAATGAGAAAGTACTATTGAATTAAATAAAATAAAAAGCAGCTTTGAAAATAGAGCATAATGAAGTCACGTGTGTCGGTAGGTAAGAAAATTCAAAAATGCGTTTTAAAAGCTAACGGCGATGGAACAATCCAATTTTCCAAGCCACCACCTAAAACAGTGAAGTTGTCAAACTTGGCGAGAAGAAAAGCCAGAGAGTAATAATTTTCCTTTCATTTTTTTTCTAAATAGTATTTTGCACATGTACAAACACAAGAGAAAGATATAAAATAGTAAAAATAAAATAAAATTAATTGAAAACAACATCATCAATTATTTGAATCAAAATTTTAAGGCTCCATTAATCCCTTTTTAGCATTCAAATTGATTTATTTGTTTTTTAAAAAGACTTAAGAATCCAAAGTGCATGGCATGTTTTGATGAGTGATGAGTATGGTGAAACACACCGTTAAAAGTAGATTAATATGTGCAAAGTGGCAAAAAGCTTAAACCCTTTTTGCATGCAACCATGTCGTGCACCACTAACTCCCTAGCAAATTTAAAAACTGCTACACTTCTCACTCAAAGTGGATAAAAATATGAAACAATAGTTTATTCAAATTTATGTTCCATCAAATATTATATAAGAATAGTGTGACAAAAACACAATTTTCTTTTGACGATAAAAATAAATAAATAAATAAAGGGTGCATGCTAGCATGTATAATTAAATAGGTTAACGAATTACCTTGTACATGGACCTGCCATTTCCAAAAATGAAATCAATGGAACCCTCGATGTAACATTCTTTGAAGTAATGACGACCAGCATCGTCGCAAAGAGTGTCTTGTGCGCCGTAGAACCCGCAGCCGGAGAAATAGGCTTTGTCACCGGAAATGCGAAACGCCGCCGCTTGCCACCCCTCCATTCCCGGCATCGGCGCCGGAGCAGTGTTCTGCACCGTTTCATGTTTGTTATTGATTGCTTCTAAACTTTTGGCCGAAAAGGAAATGGCAGTCCACAAATTCAAACGTTCGTAATAGTACAAGATTTCTCATATTTTCACACCAGAAAATACCACAACATCCATTCAGCAACTCATTTTAAATTTTTATATTATTATTATTATTATTTTTTTTCATCAATCAATAAAAAATAATATTTTAAGATTGTGAATAAGAGATTTGTAAAAATGGTTGTAAAAATATCTTTTCTGTATAAAGTAGTTATTCCATGCAATGAAATCTTTGTCCACGGATCCATCTATTCACTTTATGATAATATATCATCTTAGCTACAAGGCAACTCAAGTTTTTCTCATGAAGTACACATTTACCCAGAACAAAAAGAAAAAGGTTGATTTTTGTGAAATGTTTTTTATCCACGTGTTTTTGAAAAAGCAAAAGTTCAGTGATATTACAAGGAATTCGATGTTTAAAATTTGTTCTTGAAAACTCTTGTGATGTTATGGTAAAAGAATCTTTACACATGCAAACAAGGGATGGGTAAGTGCTAATAAATACATTGATAATGACCGTACATGGTACATAGTGTGAGAGTTAAAAAGATACCTTGAAGCTGATATTCCTAGCAGAGAAATAGTTGGCAAAAACTGTAACAGAAGCTGTTCTGTAAGTACGCAGTTGTTGGCCGTTGGGACCAGGGTCACTGGCCCTATCATGCCATTCTATCACCGTCACATCTCTTCCCGCTCCTTCAAATGTAATGTACGGCTTCGTCACGGGCACTACCACCTTCTCTCTGCATAAACAAAACCCAACACTTCATAAACAACAGTTTTGTGTATAGAAAATATGGGGCCAAAACAATAGACTCTTTGGAAGAAATGAATTATGTAAATCCTCTCTCACTAATGAGGTGATATAAAAAAAAACACAGTAACATTATCAGAACAAAACTTAGCTACTTATTACTTAATTAACCAGATAAGTTAATTAATGCGTGTGAATTATAATAATTAGCAGAATTAGAAGAATGATACATGTAATATCCGGGGCTAATTTGAATAAGGACGTTCATGCTGTTGTTGTCCGCGACAGCATTGACGGCGGCTTGGACTGATCGGAAATGGCCTCCACCGTTAATGTCGACGGTGATTACTCTACGTCCGGTAGGTCCGACCCACAAGGACGAGTTTGTGGAAGACACCATTTTGGTTGTGCATGTCACGGTTGTTGCATGCAATAATATGCAACAACTGAAAACCAGGAACATTTGCAAGGAGATGAAGAGTGGAGCCATAAGATGACACTATAGCATCGGAAAGTACAGAGAGATTGTAGCTTGAAGGAGAAGAGAATGAAATGCGAGTAGCAGAAGAAGAAAACCAGACGGAATGTGCAATGTGGAAGAGTAAAAACAGATCAATTGGGGAGAGATGCATTCAGAATTTATACCCTGAGGATTTGATCTTTGGTTATCTTATTATGATTGATTATGATCACTGAATAAAGTGTATCTGTAGTTTTATTCTATGTCAAGAACGTAGATTGATTCCTCCTCTAACGGTCACTTTATATTGGCGTGTAATTAGTTTCGACATGCATAACTTTTTACATTTTTTTTCTGTTTAGAAAAATAATGACAGAGAAATTATTTTTGAATGTGTGCTCCTTATTAAAAGAGATTTATCTCTGAATAATTCAATAAAAGTGATATATAATGCCAAAATTGTTTTGGATTTTGTACGAACATTGTAGCTTGATAAATTTGGTTGAGTAAAATTATTCTTAATACATCCATCATTTTTTTTTACTTTATCCTTTTCTTCTCTTCGTACATTATTTTTTCCTATAGTTTGATTCAAAGCTTTGGATTTTCTCAGCTTAATAAAATTATTTAGTGACTTTTAAAAAAAAAAAATTAATCTAGACCAGACCACATCTTCGATATATGTATTGATAATGTGTATTCTATACTTTGAGTTTGGGTTTATAAATTTATGAATTTATGGCATTAACAATATATGATCAATTAATACATGTTTTTGATAGCTGAACTGTAATAATACACTCAAATGTCATTATTTTAATAAAGTAATTAAACACCATGTATAAGAGATCATGCATGATTATTTATAATATTGTGTACTTTTTATTCATGCATGCATATGAAAATGGAGCAGTGATTGAGAACGTTATACATATATACCCTAAGACTAGGATAGGACCATGGGTGGGGTTGGCATCTGAGGGTAAGAGTAATGCCCCAATTATGTGGGGTTTGACGTCCTTAGAGTCCAACTATTTACCCGTGACTCTTCATAAATTATAAATGTCCAATTCCCTCTCCATTGTTGGAATTTGTTGTTCATTTATTTCATGGGACCAACAGCAGGATCTAACTCCAAAACAAAATTTTCATTTTATTTTATTAACTTTAATCGAATTAATATTATTCAATACACTATAGTTTTAACTGTTTCGAAAATATATAAATAAATAGAATGATATTTTTAATTTTAAGAAAATATATATTTTCTGTCATTTGTCACTAAATTATAGTTACTTTTATGTTTCGATATATAAAAACAATATATTTATTTAAGAGTTTAATTATTTTAGGAAAAATGTTTAAACTTTATATATTTATTATTCTTAACTTGTGTAAATCAATGTATTAAACGGCGAATTGGTTCGAATATTAGATTAGACTTTTTATTTGTTGAATTCAAATAAAATCAAATATATAGTTTATTCTTCTGAACAAATTATAGAAATACGTTGTTTCTATTATTTATTTTAAAATAAAAAGGTAGTTTTATATATATTTTCTTCTTTTAAGTGTCTTTTAAAAGTAAAATTAAAATAAATTAAAATTTTAAAATAAATAATATTTTAAATATAAAAATTAATTTTAATAATATTATCATAATTAATAAAAAAATCGGAATATTTTTGTTGATATATAGAAAAAAATTAATAATAAGATATTATGAACGAGAATTTAGAACTATTCTACGTAAAGTGTTTTACTTGCATTATTTTATAATTTGAAGAGATTATTTATGTCCAAATTATATTAATTATATTTAATGAATATCAGTATCTTTCTTACAATATACTTAGAATGATGTTGCCATTGGCATTGTCGAGAAGCATGTGTGTTTTTGTGCCTCAAACGGTTCTTTGGAGTGGTAAAATGATGGTCCCAGCATGAGGAATAGTATTTTGTATCAAACAATAAAACCTAAACAAAGTGATCAACAAACCTTTTTAATTTTCTGGACCAGACACACAACTTGGCCCCCACCCAACATTTTTTCGAACGTTGGAAGTTGGAAAACGAACACCGTCTACGATCCTCGGATTTAGGCGATTCAGATTAAAATTTACGCCACATGCTTTACTTTGCAGTGATACCCATGTTATGTGCTTAATTTAGAACCAAAATGGGTATCAGAAGTCAATGACATTCGACAATGATCATGGAAATAAAGGCAAAAAGTATAAAATAAATGATTGTAGTTTCATCTTTTATCGAACATACCAGTAGTGGCTTTTGGCTGTTAACAACATGCAGTGTTCTTAACCTATATAATTAACATTTTAGATAGTGACATTCTAAAACAAGAGAACTTTGGAATTTACACCTTAGTGATAATCAAACTGTGTCATGAACATGATTATTTTCTAGAAGGGTTCACGTGAAAAACCAAAAATGAGATAAGTATGTTGTTTTTAATTACTCCTAAAAATAATTATTTTTTTTATAAAAGCTAATAAAAATGTTATTTATTTTTTGAAAATTAAAAGCATATATATCTATGGTTAAATTGATTGATTCAATTTACAAAGTCGATTCAAATGCTATGCTGTAATATTAAAATTCAGGCCCATTTATTTGTTTCGGTTCATGCTATCAGTAACTGGACCGATCATTGGGCTACCTCGGGCCATAGCACTGTTCCTTTCTATCCCAGTTATTCAGCTGGGCTGTTGCTTCCAGCACCCCCATAATTATATTAAACGCTATTTTACTCTTGCATTTATTTTCATCTTCATCTTGCATTTCTTTTCATAAACACGTTCATGACATGAACAACCAATCCAAAATACATTTAGAGAAAATATTTTTCAGAAACGCATTCTTAAATACCCATTCTGTAATACTTTTCTGAAAAAGTCAATTCGAAATATATTTTCGAACTGGTCTTTCTGAAAATACATTCTAAAACACTTAATTCAGAATACATCTCTCAAGAATTCAAAAAGTTTTATAATTACTTAAACTCACATTATGGGAAATATTTTTCTTTCTCAAGCACAAACCTCTCTCTCTCCTCTTTTCTTACTCATCCTTCTTCATAAGGTAAAAATCATATATATATATATTATACTTTTTTACTCTCTTTTATTGAAAAATTTGATTTAAAAATAATAAAATAAAAAATATAACGGGTCAGCCGGTCAACCTATCAGTCCGCCCTTTGGCAGGACGAACACAGACCTGTAGCCCGCCATGACTATAGTAAGCTAGTCTATCCCGTCCCGCTTTTAGCTGACCAAAGATAAGACGGACCAAAACTGAACGGGCTAACCCGTTTTATTATCCGTAATTGGTGGTACAAAAATTATATATATATATATATATATGAGAAGAAATAAAATTATGAAAAAGGAAATAATCATGCGGTGCAGCAAGCAAGCACCATTCGGCTGGCATGCAATATAATAGATAACAATTGCAAAGTCAATCAAATAATAAAATATTAATAAAAATTAAGCCACTCTTTTAAAAGTGTTGGCTGGACCCAACCAGCTTTTTAGGGTTAGGTGGAAATTTCGTATAAAAATATATATATATATATATATATATATATATATATATATATATATATATATATATATATATATATATATATATATATAAAGTTTTCAAATATTGATTGTATTATTAATTTTTGAAATGTTTATTTAAAAGACTTAAGATTACTAATGTGGTCATCGATTTGTTAGGTTATAAAGAATTTATATTGATTTATAATAAATATGATATCAATGTTAACATACATTTTAAAAAAGATCTTAGTAGTTATGTTGTATAAAGAATTATTTTTAGTATTCACTAAATAATATGTTTTCAAATTTTGTCATGACAATAATCAAACGCTAAAAGCAAATTAGAATAAGTTTTAGTGCAGTTTGATGTTCAATTTATTTTTCTAACATTTACATTAGAGTTTATGTAGATCTAGTAGTACTTAAGATCAAAAGCACACTAGAGCCCTATAGACAATATATCTATAAAACAAAGGTTAGGAGAATAAAACAAAAGAAAATACGAGAATCTAATAAAGAACAATTATTAGTATATCTCAAACTTCAAAACGCCAGCTAATTCTTCATATTGCTCATAATTTAACATACATTTACAAATGTTAGTAAATAATATTAAATTATCAAATAATTTTTAAAATTATATTTGTATGTAAAAAACTAATCAAACTTTATAATGTTATTATTTATAGACTTTAAAATAGCCAGAATAGTTGATAAAATAAAAAGAATATGAAAAATAAATATATTTGGTCCTAAATGTATTTATTTTTATAATAAAACTATAAAATAGAATTTATCTAAAAAATAAATAAAAATGTTATTATCCTTAAGATCTCCTTAGTTTACCTCTTTAATCAATTTGGCCTATAATGAGAACTTTTGTGACATGAGTTATGCTGATGAAATTGCAATTTCGTTTACATACTGAAAGGCACCGAAGAACCTGCATCTATGTTTTATCCAATATCATGACAATCGAAGATATCTTTGAGATGAGTTTTCTTCCATTTTTACTGAGGTAGCCAAGTTTATATATAATACAGACAAGAGATTCGGTGTTGTGACTAAATGTTAAAAATTTGATTACAAAAAGCAATGGTGCAATTGTTACACTTAATGAGAGAAATTGCAAAACAATCTTTATATACACACTAACTACCGGTGTTCCTCCTTTTAGTTCAAGATGGCCCTTTCGCTCCAAAAGAATGAATATAATTTCAACCATAAATAACATCTTAATGGAGCTGAATCCTTGGCACTTCCTACCCTTCAATTTTCCATGAGCACGTCATCTTTGTCCAAGGATTGTTTCATGCCCGAGTAGACAGCTCAATATAACTTGTTAAACCAAGAAGGTGGCGAAGACTCTCCTATTCTTGGCAGAAAAGCTTCCCTATCTAGAGACTGTTGAAGCCCTGCCATTATCCTAGTCATAGATGCCCACACAAATGGTGCAGCACAGAATGCATAAACAAAAACGCTCAATGCTCTCACTACTCCATCTGAATACCAAGGAAAAGCCATGACCATCAATGCACCAACAATCCCAAGCCAAGGCATCAAAACTGGTAACATTGGAAGCAGAAAGGCATTGATTGCAACTGAGCACAACGCAAAGACACCGAGCAAGTAGAGAGGCCATCCCAACAATGGGTGAACTGTGTGAGGAATAATGAAGAAGGGTGTTGTGTAAGCCGCAAGGATGCTCCACAACGCCACAAATTTAAGGATGTTCTGCACCAAGTTGATGCTCTTGTCAGAGCGCCTATAGCACAGCTTTGTGAGACTTGGCCTTGCAAAACGTGTCATTGCTATTATGCCCAAATATATTGTTGATTGAATAAGTATGACAGCCATCTCCGCACCATACCTGCACTAAATAACAGGCCAATTGTTACAATGGTTACATATTTGAGGGAAAATACTATTCTAGAAGAAATGGTACGATTAGAAATCAGCTCAAATGATGTGACAGAAATCAAAGTGCTACCAAAAAAGAGGAACATCATATTATACTAAAACGAAATAAAAGAATAGTACAGTATATATGGACCTTACCCCAAAGTTTCGCGACGTTTATCATGCCACTGGAGGCCTAATGGCAGGACAGGCCAGGACCACCAATACCATGGCTTCAACCATATTGCACCTGGGAATGTGATCACACTATTTGGTCCACAGGGTATGCTCCATCGAAGTTTAAGATCTGAAAAAGTAAGAAATGGTATTAGAATGAACTCAGATAATCAGATTGCATGAACTGTTCAGCAGTGAAGTTACAAAAACTAAAAAGATATGACATTCCATTTTGTTTGTAATAGATTTACTTACAATAGTAAGAAGCATCCATCTGATAACCTAAAGGAAGCCTATATGTTCCATCAAGCCTGGTGCCATTAGAAGGTGGATAAAACATTGGCTTATCAAGCAACTCTGGGAAATAGCTAGCTATGAAGCCCTGGTCTGCACCATCAGGATTTTCTCTCCCATTCTGTAATTCATGAACCATGTCCTTGAACACCGCCATTGATGGCTGCAAAAAATAGTACAATAGAGATCAACTAAGATGATAAATTTTTCCCATAAAAATCGTGTCATATTGTGTAAAGAGTAGCGTGTAATATACTCTATTAGATATCCACCACAGATATTACCTAATACGTGATCTATTAAATTTAAATGCTCTCAAATGAGTCAAATCATTCAAGACTTAATTTTTTTTTATTGAATTAACAAAATGTAAATAGTACTTCTTAATTAAAGAAAGTCAATGACAAAATCTAAATTATTTTGTATTTTTAATATAGTAAATGCTTTAAAATTAAATATTTTCTTGACCAAAATCCCAACAGCAACCATCAATAAAACATGTAGTTTGATGCAATAGAGAACATAAAGAAACAAACAATCTTAATAGGAACATTGAGAACGACAATGAAACATTAAAAAAAAAAAAAAGGATCAAAGATGGGAGTAGGGTGAAATTGTAGGGTTGTTGGAGAAATGTACCTGCAAGACGAAGAGGCCAGTGTGGAACACACATGGATTGATGAATACCGCACAGAACTGTCCACATTGAAACAACTCGTCCGTGTTGTGAAGGAAGAGGTTGTCTGCGTCCAACATCACCACCCTGTCATACTCCACTAAGCTCCATGCGTACAGTTTGTTCAACGATAACTTGAATCTCTTGTCAAAATTATCTTGGTGCTTATATGGGTTCTCCAGATTTTCCACTCTTACTACTTTCGCACCATCTTCCTTTTCACTAGACAAGACACCAATAACAAAAGAGCCTCAATTATTAGGTTCATACACGCAACCCAAACAACTAGTCAAACGCATAAACGCCACAATACTTCTACTTTTTCACGTCACGTTCGGTTCAGGGGTACTTCAACACACAAAAATTATCTTGCTCATTCATTTGGTGCCATTTATTATTTATACCCTTTTTCTATGAGCCCTTTGATAATTCTCTCTTATTACTGCTTGATCATCTTATCCATTCCTCCATGCTTTGCAGCAAGTACAAAATAAACTAAATGATGAGTAAGCCTAAGCTCAGTGATTGAAGAACCCTTGTTAGCTCATCTAAGAAGGGACAATCTCGTACTCCAAAATAACATCAAACTCTCATTTCAATCGTGCTGAGCCTGAGATGCTCCCACGAAATTGTCATCTATCTAATTAATTACGGCATGATCGTAGGGACCAAAAACCTTAACCATCAATTAATTTCATGTAGCACAACTCTTTATGAATGCGCGTTATTTTCTAGCAACTGTACTGATTAACTATGGAAAATACTAAGGATATCTATAATGTAAGGTTATTTAAATAGATTTATTTAAAAACTATATACACAAGTTCAGTAGTATTAAAATTACTAAAATGAGTGTTTAACTTCATCTATATTAACCTTTTGATAAAAAATAAAATGAAGTATTTTATGGCTATGTTAACCAATTGAGCAATATTGTTTATTTACACAACTAACTTAAGCAACCTACTACAAAGTCGTATGCTCTAATAGAAATTGTTTCAAGCAACATTGTATAATTTTAAACAAGTCAATCATAACCTTATGTAAATTCATTTTTGTAATAATACAGCACATTGAATTATAACCTTATTATATATATATATATATATATATATATATATATATATATATATATATATATATATATATATCAATTTTGATATTTCCATTCATTTAAGGCTTACCAATTAATATAAAATTTTGTTCATTATGGTATTGATATCTATTTTATAAGAAGCTATAGGAGTGGCCACTGTGAAACTAACCCAACCAATCTCTAATATGAATTAATATATTTAACGAACATATTAAAATATAAAAAAAATATTTAACTATTTTTAACATTTTATTTATTTATTCTTTCTAGATTTAACTTTTGAGACTATATAATTTTATTCCCTTCATATTTAGAATTTATTTGTTTACTCCTCCTTTAGTTTATATTTATTTAAATACTCAACCTGATGAAGCGAATTCAACTCAAATAAATTATTTTTAATCGACATGGATTCAAAACTTACTCCAAACTTAGTTGAAATCGACGCGTGTACACCTTATAACAAAAAATATAAATAGTCATAATTTTTATTTATTAAGATATCGATTTTAATGGTAAAAAAAATACATGGGCCAATACGGATGTTATAAACAGGAGCCTATACTTAAATAAAGGAGATAAAGCTATAAGATAAAAAACTCATTTAAATTTTCATTCATGGTTAATGCTAAACTATTAGAATACTGTTTAAAAATTGAAACTATAAAGTTTTATAAGAAAATCTATTGAGAGAATAAATCGACGTCAACGATAATACAGTAACGCATGATTGCGTTAGTGATAACATAAAGAAATGACCAAAATTTCTGCAATGAATCGTGGCACGACCGCGACACAATTAGAGAACAAAATAAAATAGTATGACATGAAGGGTGCTTTTCTTTAAACATTGGAAACAACGATAAGTGATTCATGCACTCATTTATTTTAAAAACAAATGTACTCGCTCTTTCCTTCTAAATGTGGAAAAGTCAAATAAAACATTTTAATTGAGGAAGTAAAAACATATTTTCCTTAGGCGTTCAAACGGTTATTCCATCCAAAAAAAGAAAAAAAAGTTCATTCTTGCTTATGTTTTAATTTAACCTCCGAACCAATTTTAATTTGGTTTAAAAACATTAAATTAAATATATAATATTTATAAATATAAATTATATTAATAAATTTTTTGATATTTAATATATAAATTATAAGAAATATTTATTTATTTTAAACATAAAATAAAAAACTTATTTTTTATTATTATTTTTTAATAATATAACAATCTTAATTAATAAATTTTAAAATAAGAAAATATTATATATTTATTTTTATAACTAATAAATAAAATAATAAATTATTCATCAATTTAATTTATAAAATATATTTTTTAATAAATATTATTTTATTTTTATTTAAAAATAATTATTATTTTATAAATAGATTATTTCTATATTCATTGATTAATTGATCTAATTTAATTTAGATTGTAAAATTTTCACGTATTTCCATTTTTTTCGACTTGCGGGTTTAGTTAAATCTATTTTAATATTTTAAAAAAATCGTTAAAGATTTATTGATTATGTATTTAAATATTTTTAAATTGGTTGTTTATGAAAGTAGAAATAGGTTGCTAAGAGTTACTTTCATAATTTCTTCCACATACTGCCATATAAAATGTTTTTTTATGTACAAGGGAAACTATGAAAATCGAACTTAAAATACCATGATAAATTATATTTAGAGAAGATATAAATAATTTTTTTAGGATAAATAAGTTATTCCGAACTACTTATATTGCAATATAGCTATAAGTGCCTATTTTGTAAAAACCAGATACCTTTAACATAAAAAAAAAAAAAAAAAAAACTTATAAATTATTCTCTTTAGAATCAACATGATAAATGGTACTTGTTTACTATCAGTTTGGTAACATCAATTTAAAGACTTAATTTTAAGTAATTAAAATTAAATATTTCAATGATAAATATTTATTATATTTTTAATATAAATATGTTTCAATAGTTTCTGTAATATTTTTAATTATTTCAAATCAATTTTAACAAAATAATATTAACAAGAGTCAAGTACTACTGTTTCTTAATTTGTTTTCAATCACTATTATGGAAGAATGTTAGAAATGTTTTTGGTAATAAGTATCAAAAGAATATTAACCAATAATTATTTAATATATTTATTACTTTTATCATTATAAAACTAATAAATATTAAATTCTTTTATTTTTCATATACAATAAATAATTTATATTAATTATTAACATTTGAATATTCATATTGGTCTTCAAGTAAGCACAACATGCAAGAGTACAATTTTTAAAATTTTAAATATTAACTTACTCTGTAATAAAATAAGCAGACATTTATGGATTAATTTTGTTATCAAAGATCATAAGTATCAATAGTTAGAGAATATATTTATATTGAATAGTAAATGTTATAAAATACTGAATTAAATATTAAATAAGTTTTACTATTTTGATATAATATTTAACTTTTATTAAAAAAATATTTTCTCTGTTTCACATTGCAGTTTAATTTTCTTTTGCAATTAATAAAAATGTAATTTTTTAAAAATAATTTCACTAAAATTAAGTTATATTTTCAATAAATATATTATTTTGACAATAATTAATTTAAACACAATTTTGTTTTAAAAATAGTACTTCAAACAAATGTAATTTTCTAAGACTAAAACTACACCGTGGCCCGTGGGGTAGAAGGTGAAAGTATTTTTCAAACAATAAATTCTTTTTAATAGAATACAAAAACATTAAATGCCTATTAAAAATTATTTATTGTTTTCAACAGTATAAATGGTTAGCATAATATATATAAATTAAAAGTAAAAAAATATTAATTAAGTAGTACCTTACCTTTCTTAAATATTTTTTATTTCATATTTAAAAAATTTTCATAAGATTTCTTATTTGTTTCCCTCAAAAGCTGCCTAAGTCGATTAATAAAATAAAACAAAATTTTCATAACAAAAAAAAGAAAAGAAAAAAACATACAAAATTGTGAAGTAAATATTACAAAAAGGAAAAGTTTAAATGTAGTTTTTTAAACATGTTTAAGTTTTTTAAAAATATATATTTATTATATAAATTAGTATCCGAAAAATGAGTATAATTAGAGAGTATTTGAAAAACATAGGAGTCATAAGGTTTTATCCTATTAGAGCAGGTTGGCCAATAGCAAGAAACAATGAGCAAATAGGAACAAGACGCGAAAGAACCATCCCATTTCTCAAGGACGTTGATACCATCGTCAAACACTCTTGAACATCACGCGCAATCCCAAACCCACGACACTACAAATGTGATGTGATGTGACAACTTACAACTCAATAAAATCAATACTTAAAGAAAAGGATTAGAAATAAAAAAATGATTTTTTGTTTTATTAAAATATATTAAAATATATATATAATCTCCGGATGAATTTTTGTTAAAAGCAATATTGGAAAGTCATGGATTGGAAAATCCACAGAAATTAAAGTCCATTGAGAAACCCATCCCAATGCAGAAAGTGACTGTAGAGGCAGATTAGAAGTTAATGGGGTTTGAGATTTTGAAAGCGGGGCAGGACCTGGACATCCATGCCTACCAAACCATTAACATAGTGCGCTGTCACTACACTACACAGTCAAATCAACGCAAACCGAAGTAACGGTCCCGATTCCTCAACCCTAAAAACCCATTTTATTTTTCAATTGCAATTGCAAACACAGGACAAGAAAACGGTGATAAAGTAAAAGCAAAAATAAATAAATATTATTGAGTGGGACTTACAGTGCTCGAATCCAGCGAGGAGGGACATCAAGGGAAGCAATGACAACACGATCGGCTTGAGCGTCGAGCGTAGCCAGCGATTTCAATAGCACGCGTATGGCTACGTAGAATTCGTAGTCCCTGGGCGTACCTACGTACATCATGGTGGCGTACGCGTTCCTCTTCCCTTTCACGTTCTCACCGGACACACACCCCAATCCCGATAGTAGCACCACCACCACCACCATCACCGCCAACACTCTCATCAAACCTCCCTTATTTGAGGATCGTTGCTTCTTTCCCCACGCCATCCCCAAAATCAGCCAGCAACGAAATTAAGTGGTGATCGAAGGCTTTCTGTGTTTTAATAGGAAGTGAAAATATGTGCCGTAGCCGTAGTGAACCTCTCTGGTTTAATTTGAGCGTGTTGAAAAGTGAGAAGGGCGAATAGTCTTGGTCAGTTTTGGGAGGAAAACGAGGGAAAGAGTTGATGAGGGGAAATAAGAACTTTGTTATGCATAAAAAGAAAGAAGAAGGAAGGAAGCAGCTTTTGAATGGTACCTCTCACACGGTACTTCTTAGCTATATGCTACCACACCAAACCAATCTCCTATCTCATACTTAATCATTAACTCTAATTTCTTTATTCATATTCAATTCTTAATCTCGCTAAATAACCTTATCTGACGTTATACAATAGTTGTATACCCTTTTTAATTCTAAATTATTATTCTTAATATCTTTCTTTCTATAATAATTATTTAATTATCTTTTTATTTTTCAATTATTGCAATTATGAGATGTTATTAGTGTGTCATATTTTACTTTGCATTACTTGTTATTATTGTAATTGGAATATAGAAGATGAAAATCCTACTTTTAAAATACTTTAATATCTCAATTAACATCATCAAAAAGTGAAAATTGAAATTACATGATTATACTACAAGGAAATCAAAATTGTTAGCTCTTATATTTAAAAAAAATATAAAGTTCTTTTTTTTGTCAAGGCATACTTATTAAACTCAATTAATATATTAAATGAATAATGAAAAAAAATCGGAAGTCATAAAAAAATAATTAATGCTAAATCCTTAAATTTATAATTTTAATTATTAATGTATACTTATTAATTAATATTAATTAAATATTAATTATGACAGAAAAGACTGGTAATTTGAATTCTACGAACAAGTTACAGATAATAGTTTTGGACATTTTTTACCTTTAAATTTTATAAAAATTATATTAATTTATAATCATAATTAATTATACCCAATAACTTTTATACTAATTTAAAAAAATTATATTTATATTTGATATATTTTTTTAATTACTTAAAATGGTGTTACAAAATTTATAAAACGCTTTATCATTTATTTTTAAAATAGTAATTTTTATTTTATTTTAAGTATGTTAATAAAGTATGACAATGTCTTTAGAAACGCTCCACATAAATATATTACTAATGTTGTTTAATATTATTATTCCGAGATGTGTGATTGTCCAAACGTTTGAGTTTGCTAGTTACTTACTTGGGTTGAACGGATAGAAATTCAACTATTATTTATTTGTTCGCATTCATTGTAGTTCTTTCAGAGTAAACAAAAGATACTCTATATACTCAGTTTTTAGATTAAAACAATAAACACACAAAAATTAACCTACTAGTACTACTTAAAAAAAAAACTACGAAGTGTAAATAATATGTATACATAAAATTTTAGAATGACAAATTATTTTGTTTTTTTTTATTGTATAAAAACTAAAAGGGTATTAATTATCTCTTTTAAATTATAAAATATGCTGCTATAATCGTTTAAGTGAGTAAATATGAAATAAATTTTGTAGGTTTTATTTAAGAAACACTAAGTTGTTTCTAGCCAAAGCATGGTGTGTCTGTAAGAAATAAAGAAGTTTGAAGTCCGTACAGCTGTGCTAAACGCATCGAATTCACCAAGTGGCGTCCTGAAATTAGTGCCGCGTTTGGTCGGTCAGGCCGAACATTCAAGAAACAAATTCAACTTATCATTGTTGTACCCAGCTTAACAAGCTTAACAATCACAATTGTTGTCACTATTATATTAATATATAACCGTACATACTATATTTAATATAATAAATATGAAATAAATTTATTAATCACATATTTTTAATAACTTTTAAGTTTATACTTTAAAAAATAAAATATCAAATATATTTTTTAGGTACTTTAAAACATTTTGTCATATGTATTTAACGAACGTTACGTAACGAGTCTGCCCTGGCCTAGATGTAGTTAGAGCTGTTAAAATCGCGGCTGATCTAGTTTGTTCCCACCGGATTAAATTAAAAATTTGAATTTATATTTTTAAACCAATTATAATTTTTGTACAGTATAATCTAATTTTGTGTTAGATTAATAGGTTAATTTTGTTTTAATTAAAAATTGAAAAATATTAATTTAAATATTAAATTTTAATTATTAATAAAATTCACTTTTATTTTTAATATAATAATTTAATATATAAATTATAAGAAAATAAATTAATTCATTTTTAAATAATAATTAAATACATATTTTTATTATTATAATAATTTAAAAATAAGTAGATATTATCTTTCTTATTTGTAGAATAAGTAATTTTTATTAAATTAATTTATATTATATATTTATTTAATAAACTAATAATAATAATAATTTTAAATAATTATTATTTTATAAAATAATTCCACTTATATTTTATAAGTTAATTTGACGTATATTTGAATAATGACAACAAAATAAAACTATTTTAATTTATTTTAGAATATACATCTTTTTTATTTGATATAATTAATTTCTTAAAATTTTGGTTGATTGATGGAGTTAAACTTATTTTACCATTTATTAGTATTCTATCTAAAAATGGAATAGAAATATTTGTGTTGTTATTATTTTGACATGATAAGGAAGTAACAAATTGAATGTTGACATAATTGGATAACGTTTTCAAATTACATCTTCGGATTTAGGAACTTTCGCCCAGAACTTAAATTGTGCTTCATGTGAAAAACGTTGGATAAACTCTGTTACAAAGCTAACACAAACACAATGAATGTTATATTATTAGTCTATTATATTGAATATATTTAAATATAAACGAAATTATATATACATTTGTATTTTATGAAAATAAATTTATTAAATAAACGTAAATATAAAAGTATTTAATTTTGTTTATATATATATATATATATATATATATATATATATATATATATATATATATATATATATATATATATATATATATATATATATATATGTGGGAAGTAGTAGTAACAGCTTACGTTACGTTATATTATATTAGAGATATATCCGTTAGTTTATAATGAGTTACTTGCATTACGTATTATTTCCCCCTTGCATTATATAATTACAATAATTAAACAAAGTCTTCGTCCTTTCTTATTCTCGTATTTATCTATTCGATTCGATTTACGTATATATCATTTTAAATTGAGTACACAAGATACACCCTCATGGGATAGGGTTAGAACTACCAATTATAAATGCATACACAAGATAACACCCTCATGGGATACGGCAAGTACTAGAAAAGCACGAACTATACCAGAGGGCCAGACCAAAAAGGTTTTTGACCAAACATTTTTTAATGATTACCAGGTTTTTCAGAACAAAATTATAAAAATATAATCATGTTTAGACCTTTTGGATCTACTATAATCTTAGAGCATGTTCGAAAAAATAAACTTTTATACTGTTTGTAGAATAATCTATATGTTTGAAACACAACTGATATTTAGTGAAACAAATAATATATATATCTTTTAGCTTTGCATAATTTTTTTATTTAAAAATATTTTTCATGAAACAAAAATGATACTAATTATAATTAAATATAACAATAATTGATTATAAATATAATTGTCTATTAAATAACATAATTTATAGAATTGAACTAATATAACTTTATGTGTAAAATTACCTTTTTAGTCATGAACGATGACAAATTTATTTTGAGACACAGATAAAATAGCTTTACAAAGGATAAGTCTACATGAGTGGAAAGCAATACTATTGACCGAACAAGGATGAAGCCAGGTCAAAAATTAGGGTCAAATAAAAAAAACTAAAGTCTATCCAATAATATGTTATATAAGTATATACATATACAAAGAAAATCGAAACATATTATACAAAAAGTAAATTAAATATTTTTTTAATGAGTCAAGATTACAAGTACCAATTATAATTTTACATGTGATAAATTAATTTCGTAGATTTTTAATAAAGTAGCATGGTGCTTGAAAGTATTATTGGGATATTTAAGTAATAGGAATTGTGTGTATGATTGATAAAAGAAATAGTGGTATTTGATTTTGTTGAAAGTCGCCACATCGCCTACCTCATATCATTTGGTATGATTTAAATACATGTTAAGCTACTTCACATATTGCCAATTGGTTTTATGTTGGAACCTTAACATGGTATCGAGCCAAAGCCTAACATCTTTTCGATTATTGTCATGGACCAAAAGTTGCCCTTTAGTTGGGTCAAAAGTACTCTTTGCCTGGTCCGACAGGCTTTGTTGGAGGGTGTGTTGAAAGTCCCACATCGCCTACCTCATATCATTTGGTATGGTTTAAATACATGTTAGGCTACTCCACATATTGCCAATTGGTTTTATGTTGGAAACTTAACAGATTTTCTTGATATCTAAGAAAAAGACAAAAATGATTGTATGCATACAATTTTGGTTTTGTGGGTGGTGGTTGAAAAAGTCTAGGCTGATTCTGATTCTGCTTTTCTTCAAGTTGTTTACTGGGGAACACTTTTTATGTTATATATGTGCATGATTTATGAATAATTATAAATTATATAGAGTATTAAAATTAAGAAGAAAATATCATTCTTTGTAATTTACATATGTTGATTTTTTAGAAAATAACATTCCAAGTGGAGAAGCATCAAAATATCTTCAATAATTGTTCATCTTAGTCTTGGCCAGGCCTAGTTAATTAATTTGTTGAACATGATTAGTCGGTATCTTTATGGTCCTGTTCATAATTATTGCTTCACACAACAATGCCAACGTCCAAAAATTATTTATTTTATTGAAAACACTTTTTAATTTATTAATAATAAATTATTTAAGAATAGGGTAAAATTCACTTTTCAATAAAACAACATCAACAAAAAAACTGTTTATTAGTAAATTAAATATATTGGGAAAACACATAAATTTATTTATTTTCATTAAAAGATCTTAACAAAATAGACACAAACAATTCAACTCATTATGTGAGATTATTCATGAGCACAAGGTCATGTTGAAAAATAAATCATTTCATTATAAACATGAATAATAAATAAACTTAAGTTAAAAAAATCAAATATAAAATGAAAATATAAATCAGATAAACTGTATTTGTAGTTTTTTTTTAATTTTAATTTAATTTTGTATTTTAAAAATAACTCATAATCTTCAAATTTCAAAAAAAAAACAGATTTTTACCTTTTCATAAATTTTTAACGATAAAAAGTTATTATTAAATATTAAGTTAAATCTAAAAAATTATATATTTTATGAATTTCTATAAATTTTGTAATGATAAAAATCATCACTAAATATAAAAAAATAAAATTAAAATTAAAAAAATCACGTCAAAGATATAAAAATTTTTAAAATACAAAAAAATATATTTATCCTTTATAAATTTTATCAAAACTAAAATTATAATTTGTTTTAAAAAGTATATTTTAAATAACACACTTATCAAGTAAGAGTCATATTACAATCGTACAATTTTTATGTAAAAAATAAATAAAAATGTCACAAAATTAAATATATTAAAATATACATACATGATGAATTAGCTTAATAATTGAACTTAGTTTATATATAATCTCTTTAAATGATTTTAAAAAATGAAACCGTAAGAAAGTAAAACTCGAATACGGACAACACTATAAATAAATATGAAAATTAATTTTACGAAAATAGAAACCGTAATATACCTATTAAAAATAACATAAATAATAGCGATAACCAATTATATACTTCTTTGTAACAACAAATAAATCAATAATAAAATAAGTTAATTATAAGAGATAAATTAATAAAAATATTTACATTAATGTTTCAAAAATTCAAGTGATGATGGAAAACAAATTTAAGCATATATAAATTAAACCATAAATGTGAATTATTCTAATTTTAGGGTCTCTTTTAAAATATTTTAGTGAGAATATGTTTAAAATAAACTAATCGATTAATCTTAACAACTTTTAATAAGATCTAAACCTATTTTTCATTTAAATTATTTTAAAAAAAGGGACTTAACCTAATGTTACAAGTAAACAAATCAAACCGAATAGGCCAAATTACTATATATAATATATTTTTTTACTTTACAATAAGTATTTCGAATTAATAATTTCTAATGTAAAGTTTTTACATTAATAAAACGTAAAAATCGAACTCATAATAATCCCTAGAATGATATTTATAAGCTGGACATGGTAACCACTGCCATAAGGCACTGCTAAGATACATTAAATACATAAAATCATTAAATGACTTTGAAAAAGTTATTTCTATTAGTTATTCTATTTATCTACATAAAATTCTCTTGTAACTTTTTACATTTATTTAAAAATAATTATTAGACAAGATCTATTTTTTATGGAAAAAGTATTAGTAATTATATTAAAATACAAAAAACTGTGTCTTCGTAACTTTAAAAAAGGAACAAAACATGAATCCTTTGTCTTTTCCAAGCATATCCAGCACTTTCCTTTGCTTGTCAGTTGTGACTCTTGCTTTGGATTTTACATAAAAGACATATCAAAAGTATGGATATTGGCACTATAAATATAAAAAGATGCCAAAAAGCAACAAAAAAGTGTGAGAAGAGTTAGAAGAAAAAGATACCTCTTTTATTATTCATTGGGTATATTCTTGTTGGCACCTTTATCATCTACATATTTCAAATGTAACAAAATACTATAATCTTATCTGCAAAATGTCTGAGACCAGTTCATGAAACAACAATTAACAAATTGTGTTTGTATTTAACTTTATTTGGACAAAATTTGTCAGTATACACACATTTTAAAGTTGTTATTAGTATTATACTTAGATGACCACTTCTTGGTTTAACTATTAATTTACCCACTAGTTAACTAGTTACCACATGTCTTTCATATATTGTACATAAGAATACAAATCACCTCTCTCTCTCTCTCTCTCTCTCTCTCTCTCTCTCTCTCTCTCTCTCTCTCTCTCCATGCAAAATTAATAACAATAATGTGATACATTTATATTTATAAACAATTACACAATGAAGTCTATCTCTTTTTGATACAAATCTTACTTTGAATTTCCTTTTTTTTATGAGTATTATGTAATATTGGATTATTATTTTATTCATAATTCAGGTTGATCATAAAATAGTATACGTTTAAAATTTAAAATAATAGCCACATTCAAGCAATGAGACTAAAATCTTTCTGGATCCGACAAAGATGGAAGTCAAAAGAAAAAACAAAATAGTTATCGTGGCAACAGGGTGAAAATTACTCTTTTGTTTACAATATTATGAGTACAGCGTAGTACAGTACTATTTAATAGAAAATAAAATTAGGATAGTTTAGTTAAATATTTTAAAGGACTCAAATGTAATTTGATATAAGTTTTAGACTAATTTTGATTTTGTGTAAAGTGGAGGGAGGGGATATAATAAACATGATGATTATCCTAATCCAACTTCACGCTTTACAATAAGACCGACCATATTATTAAACACTCAATCTAAGTACAAGGTCCCAAGATGATTATGGTCTCAACTTCTTATTAAAACACTTTGTAATCTAACCCACATAAACAAAATCAACTTGATTAACAGCAATATGTGTGTTCTTTAAGAGCATAGTGGGTGACAAAATGTAACTAAATTCTATATATATAATTCACAAATATATACAGAGTAAGATAAATATATGGACAAAATGTTACTGGATAGATATGGTTACGCGTAATATACATATAAACGAAAAATAGTAGAAAAATTGTTACATATCTACATATTTTTCATAATAAACGATATCCTGTGTAGAAATAATCCAAAATTACATTTTAAATTATAAATAAATTAATTAAAACTCTAAAACTAAACTATAGTCTATGACCAATATCTTCAAAAATTTTGAATTATATAATTAATAAAGGTAAATTAACGTAACACTTTCAGCATTTTAAAATATGATAATATACTTATACATCACATTATTATCTACAACACTATCTATCTATTTAGTTATATATATATATATATATATATATATATATATATATATATATATATATATATATATATAATTGATTAAAATATATAGTCTAAATAATTATGTCTACACTATTCTTTAATTATGATGTATGTTTGAATAACTTAAGATTATATTTAGTTGTTTTCAATTTTATGTTAGAATGGTTTTTATGTTATGTTTAAATAATATTTTAGATCACTTTTAAATGACTTTTTAACCTACTAAGAAATTACTAGTACACCAACAAATATTTAATGCTTATTACACTAACGAAAAAAAAAAATTTGAATCATTAGTCCTATAAGTTGCTAGTTACTATGTACAATAAATAAAATATGGATAGAAGCCGGGATATGAACGTACACGTACCAAACAAATACAAAAAAGAATAATGAAGTGACTACCACGTAAGGATGAGATGGGGCACCGCCACCTGCAGACTAATTAATGAAGTATTCTATACAAAAAAAAAACTACGCATTGTCATCCCCTATATCCAAACATCAAAACAATTTTTAATGTAAGCTCCCAAAAAAATCGAAGATAATTAATAAGAAATAATAAGCTGTAATGTCTCCATCTGCTAGGTCCCATGATGATAATGATCTTATTTAACTTCTTATTAAACACTTATCGCATATATCATAAAACCCAAACCACTCAGAAATCATCTAGGCTTTGCAAATTTTACCAATTACCTCTACTTTAGTAGCTCCTGAAAAATAAAACTATTTGAACACGGTAATAAAAGTGTTGCAAGAGAATGCATTGAAAAAAGAGGGTGATATTTTAACAACCGATACATTCTACCAGCAACAAAATAATTAATATAATATTAAATTATATTATTATATTAGTGTAATGAATTGTAAAATAAATGTATAAGTTGTCAACAAAAAACGCAAATTAGATTGTTGATCGGAACAAGTGAATAGAATTATAGAACCGAGTAGGCATTAACGAACATGAAGTTCTGGCAACCATGAGTGTATCAAGTTGAAATACGTTTAAGAGGAACAATATATCCATCGATGTTGAATCATACATTTAGATACAAACTACAAATCAGTAAGTTCTGTTGAGTCCAAACAACTCGGACTTCTAGCACAACGGCTTACTTCATGTATTTTTGCAGGAATTTCCTATGGAAATCATTCCTGATGGTATCATTGATGAATCGCTTAGCTAGTTTGGTTTCACCACGGGCTTGATTCTTAAACACCACATCATCATCCCACCTAAACAGCAAAAGGACACAACCCAAAATGAGATCAAGACAGCAAACCAACGGTTAACAGTACATCTGTCATTTTTGTTTTAGCAGGGAGTTTGATCAGTGTCTCGATTCGAACCTTCTTTTCACGTTGAAAGATGCTGGATTATTGAGCAGAGGGTTTCCGCGCAGAAGCTCTGCCTCCTTTACTTTAAGCTCTTCCTCCTGTTGTAGTCGTTCCTGCAGAGACATACATTTTTAATTTTTGTACAAGGGCAATTTAAATTTACTTACAATCTATAACTAATAATCTAAACATCATTGGAACCACTTAGTAACCATGTTATAAGTTGTTAAAATGGGATAGAGATGTTATAAACTCAACCACCAGCTCAGGCCTGACAACTAACTGTTTTTCATAAAGATCCAAATGAATTAACAGGAGGGAAGGGAAAAGGCCCCTGTATCCCACGCCCTCCTTCCTCCAGTCACCCTCCTTCCAAATAAAGTGGAAGTAACAACTATCATGGAAAGATATACGATGTAGTAAGGATGGGAGCCAAGCCAGCCCACTATAAATATGGGACGGTTGATATTTTCAGTCTCCCATTCTGGCTTGTCTTGCCAACCAACCTAGTCAACCCGTGGGATAAGACAGGTCAGTCTACCCGCTTAACTGACAAAAAATAATTATTTCTATTGTAATATAATCAGTCACAAAGGTAACATACAAAGTGAAAATTTGTGAAAAAATAATTCAAAAAGTCTCAATCTCACTCATTACCAAAAACACTTTCCTTTTTAAGAACAAGCTCCTCTCTCCCCTTTTCTCCTAACTCTTCATCTCCTCCTTGCTCATTCTGTACATGGATTGTTCTTATCCTCATAATTTAAATTGAAGGAGAGAACAACGCGAAATTTTATCCAACAAAAAATATAATTAATTAACATTTAGGTGTTTGAATTTTTCAATATAAAAAATAGAGATTTTACAAGTTTTAACATTCCCTATATGCATTTGTCATTATTTATTATTATATAAATTTTATCTTAATTTGATTATTCTAAATTATAATTTCTTAACACAATGTGTCAATTTATATTATTAACAAATAAATGATAATCTTATTATTAAACTTATTGAAAATTTTGATTTAAATGAGACAAATAAATTAATTTAAAAAAAAGTTATGACAGGTCAAAGCCGGAATGGACCAAAACAGACCAAATCAGACCGACTGACCCATTTTGTCATCCCTAATAAAGAGGAATTCAAGCAACCCCCCAAATATGGAAAGCTTCAATGGCATGACATGAACAAAGGTAGGAAATGTAACCTTGCGTAGCTTTTCCTCTGCTCTTTCCTTCTTTATTTGTTCAAGCTCAGCTAGCAATGCTTCGGTGTCATCTTCGTCGTCATCTTCATCACTGAGAATGTTAAGGGAAAATTAGAATATAATACCATTATTAATAAGTGAAGACACTAGTTTGATTACAAATTTTGATGTAAGAAATTTAACTTCAAATACAATTAAAAAGACAAAAAGATAATTCCACATGCACCAAGATACTGGAGAGAAAAGTGACAATGTGAAACCACTTGTTCCCATCCCAAATATCTCACGTGTTTCAACAAAACCAACTACCCTAACTCCCACACTTTTTTGCAAAACTAATCTCAAAAACATCAGCTAGAAAAATATCATTAATAATGAAATGAAAAATTATTAAAAAGTCAAAGAAAAAACAGCTTCATCAAAACTAAATGAGATCCAATGTCTCATCCAGCATGTCTTCAAAGTGCCAAAAACGCAGTGATGCACGCTATCTCGTGCCATTATATTGCATGTCAAAGTATTGATAATAACATGACTATGCTCAATTGCTGATAAAAATAGCATCCATGCCGATTCACATCTGCTAACTAACTCACATGAAGGTCCTATATAGTTTAAACTGCCTACATAAAATCATAACCCTTATTTGTTTTCTAAAACCTAATTAATACATGGACACATCATAACTTAAATTATATTCTTATGGATGTCATTTATTTCTATTGTTACAAATACTTTTGCACTGGCCTTTTTTTATTCTTCAATATTTTGAGACAATTCAATTGAATATATATACCAACTATCCATTACATAAACATTTGATACTGCTAAACATAAGGTTCATGATAAATTACCAACCTCTCATCATCACTTTTGACTTCAACATCAGAATCATCTGCATCAACACTTCGAGCAACAATGTCTTCAATTTCTCTCTTTGATCCTGTCAAGATAAAGACCCATCAATCTACAATACTGAATATAAAATACAATTATGGTTTCTTTCCATATAATTTTTTCTCATCCGGTTTTAGATGGATAGCTATGTACAAAGTATTTCAGTAAAATGTGAACTAGTTAGTTGATAGAATACCTTCTAGAAACAGATGGCTACTCTTTCCATGATCCCTGTCATCTGTCAGAGCATAGAATAGAATTGAACAGTGAGAAGTTACAACAAAAAAAGAAATTCCATCTAAAAGAAATCATGCAATTCAAATGCCACAAGTACAAATTTAGGGAAACATTGCACATTGATTTCTTTACCATAAGATTTATTTTTTGATGAGAAATGCCTCCGTTCACGCTCTTCCAGTTCATCACGTAGGTTCCTTCTCTTTAACTCATCCTGTGTGTCCTGCCCGTCTTTCCTGGAAAGGTAGAATTACAATTATTAGCAAGGAAAATCAGTAAAACTGCATACCAACATGATAATCTGCAACATTGGTCACAAGCATAGAGCAATATAGCCTCTTAATCATTTAACAATAGAAAAGTGAGAAGAAAATAAAGAAAATGAAACATTTTAATCATAAGTCCGGATGAAGTTTCATATGAAATTTAAGCACTGGATATGAACAAATACAGTATAAACAACACTGCATATTAGAGTACATCAGCCACTACCCAATTAGTCCCAGCCATAACTACAGTTAACAACTTCTTGTTATAATCCTCACTTTAACTCTATATAAGAATCTTTTCGTACCCAATTTATTTGATAAATGAATAAAATCTGATATTATTTCATGTCCTTGTTTTTCAAGACTCAAACATAATTTTTCAATATGAAGAGCTTGCTCTTGATCAAAATCCATGACTTCCAACAATCAGTTGGCACCCCTTCACTTCCTCCACTGAACTCTTATGCTCCTGTAACCTTCTCTCATACAATCTCTGAAAAGCATGATCAAAAAATTCTTCTATGGAAGCAAAATCATACTGATTCATACCCATGACTCGATTCTATGTGAAGGTTCTTAAAATAAGATCAACTCCTTCGGTGATGGCCTCGATCTTCTCTTTCAAGCTCCATTCTCACTTGAGTCATAGGATGTGCTCATACCCAGAAGTTGCGGGTACAAATCCACAATCACTTCCCAGCAATCAGACTTGGACAAAAACTTGACAACAGCAATTGGATAACATTTTCAAGAGGTTAGAAGAAGACCATGACACCATTGTTACATTCATTTGTAATAAGTTTTAATCTCTTACATTGAGGAGATTGAGGCACTTTTGTTAGTGAAAGAAGCACACACTACTAACTACAAGAACAATGTAGCACAAGACACTATCTTCTTCAATGTCGCTCACAATTTCACAACCTTTTTTCCTCCTATGAAAGGACAGATGAAGAAAGAAAATATATGACATTTTGTATCCAGTCAAATTACAGATTTAAATAAATAAATATGGTGAACCTATATAATTTCAATAACTTCGGGAATAAATTCAGAACCATTCGATATGATAATGTACGATCATTCACCCATAAAAAATTTTGGCTCCGAAAACAACCAATAGACTAGATTTAACATGGAGAATTTTCCATGATAAACTACACAAGGATCCATGGAGGAATACTAGGCAAAAGGCAACAATTATTTTTATCATTAGATCAACATATTTCGATGGGATTTGATACTGAAAACTGTGATTCGATTGGATTGCCAGAATGAAAAATCCAGTAAGAAATTTGTCAACATACATAGATAACCAAAACAACAGAGTTTCCGGAAACTACACCTTACGAGTTAGGATCCATGAGCTTAACATAACCGAGACAAGTAAACAATCTTGATATGCACAACAACAATATCGAGGCCTAATTAACCTAAACTAGGATGATATGACCAAGAACGAGCACAAAGGGCTACGCGTAAATATGAAAATTGCGATTACCCCAAACAAGATAGCCTCAAAAACCCTAATTAACATCAACACGACAGCCGATGTTCCATTATAAATTTCAACCATACAACTTTCCATTCGTCAAAAAACCTAAACCTAGCTTGTAATCCAACCAAAGTAAAATATGAAAAACCAAATTGGGGAAAAAATTTAAAAGGTTAGGAAAAATTAAAGCAAACCTGGGTTTGAGAGTGGTGTGCGATGCGATGTCCCTAGAAGAGTACTTCTGTGAGGGGCCGAAAATTCGAGTACCACCTTGTTCGTTGCCACCTTTTGCAGGTGCCCATGTAGGTCGAGCAGCGGTAGTCATCGGATTTCACCTTTTAGGAATCGAATTTGTTCGTTTTCTGTCACCGACTTCGCTTGCTGTAATGGGAGAAGGGTTTCGCTGATATGAGAGAAAGGGAAAGAGAACGGCCTGATGAAATTTAATTAAGGGCCTTTTTAATTTACGGGCTTATTCGTTCAAATCCGGGTCGGGTTCACCTAATGAAATTTATATATTTTTTTTACAATACATATTTTAAATATTTTTAACATAATTTTAGTACGAATTAACTGTAATCAGAAGTAAATATCGACCGTGTTGAAGATTTCTAACGTTCATTGTATGTGTCTACTTGCTTCCTTCTCTACTGGGTACAATCTCATAAATTAAAAAATATCGTATACTTTTTCATTATCAATAGCAAAAAATTTTAGAAAGGTAAAGTGACAAAAATAGTAAAAGTTTATTATCTCTTTGCAGTTTTTATATATTCATTCAAAAAATTGTTCTATGGGAGCAACGTCATGTTTTACCATTCAAAATTTAAAATTATCAATACATAAAAGTAAAAGAATAGGTTGTGACCTCTTAACAATCAAGTTTGACCAATTATTAAAATGATTAGTAATATTCTTTTAAAAATTTATGTAAAGATTTAACTCAATCATAAAATTCAATTTAAGATTTTTTATATTATCTATAATCATGAAAAACATATCCAGCTCAAATAAGAAAAAATTACATTATACATTAATGAACTCTTATAAAATCGAAGTAAAGATAGATTATATATATTTTCTTTCCTTAATTTACTAATATATCTTTTAAAAATAAAAATATGACAAATAAATTTTTTTTCAAAATGAATAATATCTCAATCATAAAAATTTAACCTAACTATAATATTATAACATATAGAAGAGACCGAAACATATTCCTTTATTATACAAAACAAGTGTTATTAATACTAATGGGATTTATTTATAAATAAATAAATATTTTATTATATATCTCATATTTTAATTAATTAAAATTAAAAAAATTATTTATATAAATAACTCTACTTAAGTTTTAAACAACTTGTATAATAAAATATAAATTTTAAGATTATAATAAAATATTTATATTTATTCCTAAATAACTTTTACTTAAAAACCCAATTAAAAATGTGTTTAGTTCATTAAATTTTTAAAATATATAATTAAAAACTAACTTGTTTATTTACATTTTTAAAAATTAATTTTTAAAAATTTATAATTTATTTAATAGATATCTTGTTAATTTTGTTTTTAATTTTCATTTAATTCTTTTTATTTTATAAGTACAAAATTAAATTAATATTTTTGTTTTATTTTCTGCTCTTTAATTTATATAAACAACTAAATAATATCATCTCGTCTTTATTGTTAATTTATCCAACTTATTATATAATTTTCATTGTATTATTTAACATTGTTTGTGTTTTAAAAAAATGAAACTAAAATTATCCAAAAAATTTAATTTATTTTCTAAATTAATTATTTAAAATTAAATATATAATAAATAGAAAAAACTTTAAAACACATATTTAATTAAAAATAGAAAACTATATTAAAAAATACATTTTATTATTTTTTATTAGTAATTTTTAAAATTATTATTAGAATAATTTTTAAAAAACTAAAACCGTAACTAAACTCAACAAAATTTAATAAAATATATATTTTATTTTTAGTTTGTTTGTTTTTTTATGACATCTCTGTTTTCAGCAAATATTACACATGAAACTTCTCTCAACAATCTTCCTCTCCGCTGGCATATATATCCTTTTATACTTAAAATGTTTTTAAAGTTAGAATCCTCAAACAATTTTGCTTTTTATTTATTTAAAAAAAATAAAAAATATGTTTAATTTACAAAAAACAAAAAACAAATAAACTACGTGAAACATGCCCTAAATTAGCACGTGTTTACTATTATGTATTATAAGGACATAAAATTTTATTAATACGAAACTATACTCAATAGTTTTAAATTTTCTATAAATATAAGATTATGTTGAAGAATTTTTATAAATATTTATCTCTATTTAAATTATTTGAGGTGACGTAAAAAAATTAAAATGATAAGGAGGGATTTTGTTGACTAAGTCATTTATTTTATTTTTTTTACTTTGGTTACTTTTGAGTTTAAGGGAAGAATTCTCATTACTATACATGATCAGGATATGTCAGGGTGTTCTCCAGTTTTAAAATTAGAGTTTTGGGCGGAAAGTTATGAGGAAGTTAAGATTCAGACAGCGTGAGTTAGTTATTTAAGTAATAAAAAATTTGATAATGAAGTATATATATTTTGATGTGGTGTAATAAAAATAAAAATGTATGTTTATATTATTTTAGCATTGTATGATATTTTTAATGTAGGATTGTGATAACTTATTTATATTATTAGATATTAAAATAAAAAAGGCTAAAATCTGAATAAATTATGTTTTTTTTTCTTTATTTTTACTTTAATAATACTAGTTTAGCTTAAATAAGGATAAGACATTAAAAGAGGTGGTTTAAGATGGTGACGATTTGTTTAAGTAAGAGTTTTCTTATTTAAGAGAGTCAAGTCGATTTAAATTTCACTTAATCAAAAATATTTATACTTAAGCGAGAAGAAAGATAATTGATGTGGATAAATTATCCCTTAAACAAATATTTTTGAAATGTTTTTTAGTTTGAACTTCTAAATATTACAAAAAAATAATTTAAACTAGAATGATAAAACGAGTTAGTTATGTAAATAAATTTGTAGTTTTCCTACGTTTTAATTCATTCCAAAAAACTACTCTACACGATATTTAGATTCTTGATTGTCACACAATAACATACATAAATCATTACAAGGAGGTTAACCTTGTTATATGAGAATGCGTTTTTCAATATATTTGTTCTTAAACCTCTTTTCTCAATTTATTTCTTTATCTTTCTTTCTTCTATTACACTTTTCGAGGGTTTCTTGTGAAAAGAACCTTATGACCGAGAGATATAATCATAATCCCCTTTTATTAATCAATGTCAATCAAGTTGGTTTCTATAAGTTTTATTTTATTTTATCTTTATTTATATTATAACTTTTTTATAATAACCAATTGGTCTTTATATTTTATTAAATCACATTTGTCCCCATAATTATATTTAACATGAATCACATAATAGAATTAATTCTAACATTCTTTCACTTTATTTATGTGATTTAATACTTAAATCATAATGCATTAAAGGACCTTACATAAATTTGATCTATCATTATTCATAATTAAAGATACAACAATAACAAATGACAGTGACATGTCATTCAACATGCTCCCACTAGTGCAAAAATGGGCTTTTATGTTAGGTATTTTGGGCTTTTTACGTCGCATTTAAGACTGACGTTAAAACGAGAGACGTAAATTTACGTTGAATCCCTTAGCCCGATGTAAATTCACATCAGTTATCGAGACCCGATGTTAATTTACGTTGCATATACTACTAAACGAGACGTAAAAAGTTTCAAAAATTAAAAAAATTGGGTTTATTTTGTATTACAACCAAAACCTATAAATATATATTATAACCAGACAGATCCGGAGGTTCAAGTTTCTTTAGCTAGTAAATAAAAAATATAATATTATATATAATTCAAACTACATAATAAAACAATATAATACAAACAATAACCTACAAACTAAAATTTATTACAAACGAAAAGTTAGTACAAACTAAGCTACCTAAACTACATAATACACACAATATAATATGAACAATAACCTAACAAATTAAGTACTAGAATTGTTGAACGAAAAACATTGCCCATTGTTCTCTAATTTGTGTAATATCATAATCTGGCAATGGAGATGAATCTTCAAATACCTGAAACATTAATTTGACTCTTGTAAACATGCAACATGCATAAAGTTAAATAAACTTAACTAATGTTAAAAGCAATTACCTCCGTCCAAGAATCAGTTATACCCACATAAACTATGACTCTCATCCAATATATAATATAATAACCACATTCAAATGAGTCTGTTTGCTTATTACACTGACATGATGAATAAAACATAATGTTATTTTTTTTTTAAATTTAAATACAAACAATAATTATGGTATTCACTTATATAAATAAGTTTATAACCTTAGGATAAATGAACTGCAAAGTCTTTGTATATAGTGTCTAACTTCCAACTTACACCAATAAGGAAGATTGAACAATACAAATTGTTTCTTCCAAATGTTTTTCTCATTATATTTCTTTTTGGTCTTTCCAAACACAATATTAATATTTTTCACTTGCTCATATACTTGTTCACCATTGCGTGGTACTGATGCAACTACATTCTCTTGACATCCATTAAATGTTTTCTTCATTTTACGACATGGATGATTAGCAACTAGAAACTTTCTATGCCTATTGTACGCAGTTTTTTGTCCATGTTTCAATTGGATATAACTTGTGCCTTCTGTTAAGTGGTAAAAAGTTGATATAATTATGGTTTGAATTATTATGAAACCATTAATTTATGTTAATTCTAATCTATTTTTCTCCTAATATAGGATGAATTCGAGAATACCTTGATACAATAGTAAGGAACATAATTGTCAGCATAATTAGAGTAAAATTGGAAGAAGGAATAAGATTTTCAGCTTGGAAGTCGCTCGAGCGGGATGAATTCTCGCTTGAGCGAATGTTAGTTATTCTTCTCTAGAGTTCACTCGCTCAAGCGCAGGAAAATTTGCTTGAACGAATATTAATTATTCTTCTCTGGAAATCAGTCGCTTAAGCGCAGGAAAATTCGTTTGAGCGAATGTTAGTTATTCTTCTCTGGAGTTCATTCACTCAAGCGAGCATTTTGTCGCTTGAGCGAAAACAGGAAACTTTCGCTTGAGCGAAAGACGCGAAGCCCAAAAGCCCAAATTTTTCCAATAAAAAGAGAATATGTGTTTTGGAAAAAACAAGCGGTTTTGGAGGAGAAGAGGCGCGACTACTGCTAGGGTTTCGTCCAATCTTCATCAATTATTCACTTCTTC